TAATTTGATGTGAATTAACTCTAATTTTGTGGTGTTATTGTTTAAATGAGTGAAAATGACAATGACAAAAAGGTAGTGCCTCCTTCTGTGATTTTGTTATCATCCCTACCTCAAAAAGAAACCTGTTTATGACCCACTATAGATTTTCAGGTCTAGAGTAGAGATTTTAGTTCCATTATTTCACACATGCATTGATTACAGTATTATATTTTTTCATTAATGTTATATGCATTAAAAGAAATATGTGGGCCAGGATTCATATTCCTAGTTATGTTGATAACTTACTTTGCTAATAGCTTTGATCACTCTTTAGGCTGCCATGGCAACAGGCTCAAGCAAAACCCCTATTTTAATTGCGCCAACAACACTTCCAGGACCTCCTGCCATACCCATAGTTCTCACCAGTCCCTCAGCTGCAGCAGCAGGCCCTGGTGGGTAGAAAAACTTTATTGTTTACTTTTATTTAATTGTAAAATTTACACCTTACCTCTGACCCCTTTGGAGGTGAGCGGTTTTGTTTCCAGGAGAATCTTGCCATTTCCCGTCAGGTGATGTCAAGGAAAATATCATACAACTGACTCGGGGAGGGGCAGGGGGTAGTTGGGTCTAATTTGCTGGGTATGTGCCACTCCCATCAGAACCCCCTCTACTCCATTACAGTGTATTCTGTGGCCAGTTATAGCCCCCATCTTAGTGACTTTTGGGCAAATGTAATTTTTGTGATCCAAACCCAGGGTAAAGAACCTTAACCATTTTTGAATCCCTACTGACCAGAATTTTCCTTAGCCCCAAAATACAGAAAATGTGCAACTTCATTTGTTGAAAAGACTAAGTGTAGCCTTAGAGAAATCATACACAATGACCATTAATTCTAAGCAAGATTACCTGTTTTGTATGGAATCATTGATAAAGAGTGACAGGGGGTTGCATACACAAAAACAACCTTTGTAGGCACCAGGATTACAAGTTATTACATAATTGTCTTCATTTGTAGCTTTTGGTTTTGTCTAGCTTCTTTATAGCTTTATTACTTTTAGTCTTATGTTGTAAGCCAAAGTTCTTCCCAAACTGATGAAATACTGGTTGCAGAGTGTTAGAATACCTTCCTAAGGATCTTGATATTAGTTTATTTTTGGTGTTTCATCTAATCACTATTCTTGTAACTCTACTTAAAATGTAATATGACCTTTAGCCTATTACTAGAAAGAACCCCCCCCACTCCCGATCACTGTCTTTAGCCATGTTCTGATTACATGTTTTTCCTAGACCTTGATCGCATTCTGTGAAATGAATTTGTAAGAAATTCATGAAAATATATACTTGGCAGGATCCATGTGAAATAACTACATGGAAGGTCACATGATCAGTATGAATGGTTCTTACTTCTTTGTAATTAAAAGCCCCAGCAAGAAAACAAGCTTATTTCAGGTGCCAATTGGAGAGAACAAGGAGTGTAAGGCCAATTCCTGCATGCCCAATCTCATATTTGTGCCTGCACTTAGCATATGGTGAAGTTGAGGCAGGAATGTTATTATTCCAATATCACTTAATTTTCTGGATTTTTTTCCCCATTCAACAGTGTAATACTGGGGCATGTTTTATGTGTACCACTGCCCTATTGTGGTAAAATGGGGTATTAGGTGAATCATAGAATGATTGGGTATATATTGCTTGCTTGACAGACTAAGGAGTATTCATAGTCTGTGAAATTAGCAACTTCCTCAAAGCCAATGGTGAGATTTCCCCAAATGCTTACAATTGTAAACCTAAAATCTTAAAGTTCAATGCTAACCTACATTTCAAGTGAGATCTATTTCAATCTTTGGCAAAAACTGTTGTTTTCTTTTGAAATTTCATACAGTCAGCAGCTTTGATTTGGATGACAAACAAAAAAGATGGGTTGTGATTGGAATCACATTAAACAGGCTTCTATTACCAGTTCTCCGTGATTTTGCGGGCAAGGAACTTTTTTAAACACTACACATCATTGAAGAGCTCCAGTGGAATAGATACCCAGGTTTATTCCACTCGCATGAAGAAAGATGGTTCATTTGATTTAAACTATGGCAGCATCAACAACAACTGGGGAAGATTCAAGAAAAAAGTGCATCTATATGATTATAAAGTGGCATCTGCTGAGGATCTGGCTAAACTTTACCTTGAACCACACATGGCCAAATTTACAGGTGAATGATTATTTTACCAAAATTGGCAGTAATGTTGCAATGTAATTGGCCAATTTGCCATTGTCGATAAGAGTACAAACAACGCTGCTTGCGTCAACGTGTCACGCAATGTCTTTACAAGCTGTCAAACATGGGTGACTTGGACATTTTGATATTGTGGTAAAAAACAAACTGATAGTGGTTTAGCGTGGTCTGTACTCTTATCGACAACGATATTCGTCATCACAGTCAAAATTTGTCGCTAAGAGTACAGACCACGCCAATGTTAAATCTCTAGTCGATCTTTTTGCTAATTATAACTTACAGTGGAATATAATGACAAGGAACAAATCTGGGAATATGGAATCGTTCCAGATCAGCCTGCAGTTCCTTATTGGCGCGTCAATCTCTGACACAGGCCGCCTGGCGTACTTGGCGTTATACACATGTCGAAGAGACTCTCGGCCCAACGAGACTCTGAAGTCAGTCAAGAGCCATACTTGCAACTTGGAAACTATCCTGATAGATCAGGATATCGTTTACATAATGCTTTTAACTCGATCTTTCTCTTCAGTTCACAAATTGATCATGGTAAAATCCCCTCTTCGGTTACGGCTTTATCTCGCTTTTTAGCCATGACATGTGAAGTCTGCTCAAGTTGTTGTGTAAAGTTAGGGTAACTTTGGCAGCGGTTTGACAAGCAGGAGCTTCAGGCTTACGCAAGAGTGTAACAATAGTTAAATGAGCCTACTGAATAATGGCTGAATTTGACCTGAGATGGTATGAGCACTAAACGATGCAATTCAGCAGTTATCTTTTTAGATTAAGAAGACTTTCAGAAGGCTTCTACTGATAATGTATCTTGTAAACATATCTTACTCCTTGTGCTTACTTAAAGTATAAATTGTATTGCCTATTTTCAGGTTTTGATAACACATGCGACTTGTCAGCAGTTTTAGGAATGCTGGCCAACTCACCTGTGTTTCATACGCGCATCCAAACAAATGCTGAGGATGTGCGCTCCAAAATAAAGAAACGAGTGGGGACACTGTAACTTTGATCAATGGAACGAACCGGAGTTCAACCACAGTTTCCAACTCATGGAGACATTAATTCGTTCTTTGGGGCTTCCAGTGGCTGATGAAAAGAAAGTACTTGATGAACTTCAGGAGTGGGAAACTAAGGGTCAGTAATTTCAATGACGATATGGTGGTGTGTATGGGGCGTATCAGGCCCTAACCAACACTTTTGGATACCTCTCCTGAGTGAGCGCCAGTCTTTCTTTAAGGTCTTTGTGAGCTGATCTTCTTTACCGGCATTTACCTTGTCGGGATTTATCTACTGTCTCGATGGAAAGTGTGAAGTCCATTGTTTTCCACTTTTCCTTCTCATTTCTTTCTCTTCATTATTAAAGGCGCCTTGGCTACCCAAGGTAAAATAATCATATCATGGCTGACGTTGTATCCATTTAAATTGTTTCTTGGCAGGTTTGAAATTGTGTATGGGTTGCCCAGTGGACAAGGATTTGATGAAACTTGTCAGTATTGAGGTCACCAACTTAGAGAAAAACTTGGAGGCCATAAAGAAATTCAATGCTGATGAAGCCAAGAGGATACGAGAAGCTCTTAAAGACGCCATAGATGAAATAGCGAAGTTTGAGAAACGTATAGCCGACATGGAAAAGTCGACTGGAGGAAGAGCTCCAGGCGCAATCAGAAAAAAAAACAAAGAATTCTCATCAGCAATTGAAGATATTTCTAACAATATAAATATAATGGAGGAACGCCAAGATACAAATGAACAAAACATTTCTTTGTTGGAAGAAAGGCAAAATGAGGTAGAATCAGCTGTAGCCTCTTTAAAAGACGGAGAGAGCAACCTTACCTCAAAGGTGGAGGTTTTAGAGCTCGAACAAACTCGGTTAGATTCTCGGCTAAAAAAGTTAGAAGAGGGTAATCTTGACGCTGTAGTCGATGCTAACATTTTTCAACTGCCCAGTCGCAATCATTGCTTTTGTGGTCGCGAAAGTGAGCTAAAAGCAATTGCGGCGCAATTAAAAGATACTACGAGGAGTTGTTCTGAATCAGCAATTTACGGTCTCGGGGGTGTTGGAAAAACATCTCTTGCTGTCGAGTTTCTATGGCGACAGAAAGACAAGGAGGAATATTCCGGTGGTATTTTTTGGATTTCGGGCGAAAACAACAACCTTTTCCAGTTGTCTGTCAGCGAGATGGCACGTCAAGTTGGAACTTTGGATGACAAAGACTTTCCTAATTCGCTGTCAAGAACCTTGGACTGGTTGAGAAAGCGCGAGCAGCTGTGGTGTCTAGTGGTTGACAATCTGGACGAGTTAGAAATGTCCACGGATATGCGAAAACTGCTGACTGGTCACTGGAAACAGGCTGCACGTGGTCATATCATCATAACCACAAGGAGAGAAGCAACGGAAATCGGAGAAGAAATGGGAATCGAAGAAAGCTCTTGTATTGAGTTGAAATGCTTCACGGAGGAAGAAGGAGTTCAGTTTTTAAAAACAAGAGGTGGAACAGCCGGAGAAGACAACGGTTTTCGTGAGTTGGTTGGAGAGCTTGGCGGACTGCCCTTAGCTCTTGATCAAGCTGCTGCTTACATCAGATCCCTTCGCCAGCCTATCAAAGAATATCTGAAGAAGTATAGGAAACAAAAGATGCTTCTCTTGAAGAAGAAGAAGGCTCGTAATCTGGTGGAAAATACATCACCTGAGAGATTGGCAGTTCACACAACATGGTCGTTAAATTTTGAGCACGTCAAGAAAATGTCAGAGCAGATGGATCTTGGAGAAACCCCTCAATTGTCATGAAAATGTCTGCCTACCTAGGTCCCGATGACATTCCTTATCAGGTCATAAACGAAGGGCTCCACGTTGTGGGAACTTCCGGCCAGGAAGTAAGCGGTTTGTGGGACGCGGCCGAGACAGTGTCGCTGCTTACAAAGTTTTCCCTTTTTCAAAGGTATGGGATAGATTCTTTCAGTGTTCATCGTCTGGTGCAAGACGTCATCCGAAGTGAGATTGAAAAGGACAAAATTGAAGTGCGTATACTTTGCTGTGCAGTGCAAGCATTTAACCATGCATTGACAAAAACACGCTCGCCAGCGGAAGTCTGCCAAAGTTTCGTTGAAGATGCTGTTTTCAGCGTCGAGAATCCTCCTTCGTTACAACTGTGGGGCAAGCTGGCTTCGCACTCGACCTATTTGCAAGAACATTTGCTCAGCTACTTAGCGAAACATGAAAATGATGCCGAAAGTTTGCATACTTTGCTCTACACTGATGCAATTGTTCGTATCTTTAACGAAGCAGCGATATTTTTTAGCGTTTCGCAGGAGAAAGTGAAAGCTCAGGCAATGCAAAAAAAGAAACTAGAGTTGTTAGTGCACCTTGAAAAGCCAGCCACTGAGGAAGATTGCAACTTGCCACATTATTTTGTTGATGTACCTTTAAAAGACAAGGACTACAAGGTGATAACTTGTTGTATGAGAAACCCTCCCCCTGAAAACGAGGCTGTGGCTGAAGAAGATAACGAAAGGAAGAAGGAAGCCGACCAACTCAGAGAAAAAGGAAACAATGCATTTAAAAATAGCAAGCTCAAAGAAGCACTGGATCTTTATACAAGAGCCATTGATTTGTGGCCTAATGACCACCGCTTGTTTTGTAACAGGGCCCTCTGCAATTTGAAACTGGGAAAACCAAGAAATGCTCTGGAAGATTGTCAAAAATGCCTTTATCTAAAACCTGATTACAGCAAAGCACTTCAACGAAAGGCTTGGGCCCTGCGAGAACTTGTTGAAGGTGGAAATAGTGAGCTCGAAGGGCAGAAACGTGCAGCTGTGGCCGTTGCCCTTCACTTCGATCCCACTCTCCGCCAAGACGAAACGTTTTCCCGGATGTTTCCCGAAGTGCTAGTTCTTCGTATCAGAGAGATATACAATGACAAGGAGCTAGCGTTTGCTTTGATGACGACTCGAAGAAACGAAACCTTGTTGTTACACGAAAGAGAGTACCATCTTAGTGCCTTTGGAATTGTAAATGACCTTCAGATTGTAGGTCTCGGGCCCCACACTTACTTAAATTGTGCAAAGTTTTGCCAAATTAATAACGCCACATGCTATTTTGAAAATATTGTGTTTCCTAGAGGGAATGTTGCTCTAATCTGCCGTGGAAACAATGGCGCTGTACACTTAAATCAGTGTGAGATTTCAGGAGGAGAGACAAGTTGTGAGGACTTTCCAGAATGTAACGGAGGTCCAGGCTGCGTGGCGCCCTCTTCAGGGAAACCTGCCTGGGATCAGACAGGAAGGTTTGGTCATTCAATGTCTGGCATAACTGGCTTTCCCGGAGTCGACATTTCACACGAGAGCTCTGGATTGATTGAAAACTGTGTAATTCATAGGTGTGGGGGTGGAGGTGCTCTTGTTTGTGGGAAAGGTTCTCGACTATTGGTTAAAAACTGTGAAGTGCACAAGAACCACCAATCTGGGTTAGAGGCGAGGGAAGGAGGAGAACTTGAAGCTCTTGGAAACAAGATTTTCAACAATGGTAGTCATGGCATTGCGATTTGGAAGCTCGCTGGGAAATGTGACATTAACGACAACAAGATTTTTGAAAATGCAAAGGAAGGCATCTTTGTTGGCGCTACAAAAGAGAAGGTAACCCTACGCAACAACGGTATCCATCACAACAGACCCTTTGGTATTTCCCTTGATCATGACAATTCTCAAGTTCTTATTAGCAACAATGAGATTTTCGAGAATGGATTCTGGGGAATCCTCGCCAAAGGGCGAACATCGGCACACATAGTAGGAAACAAACTCGCTGGTAACAAGTGTGGAGGAATTTTTATTGGTGTCAATTATTCTGGGAGGGTTATTCTAGAGACAAATACTGTAAGAGATCACAGTGGTCCTTGGCTTGAGTATCAATTCGCAACTATTGGTGACAGTTTACCTGACGTCAAAGTGGCTGATGCTCTGGGTTTTATGCTTCCGGAGGGTGAAATGCGTTTTTATTCAAAGCCTCCCATTCTAAAAGAAAATAAACATTTTAACAATGAGGAAGGCTTGTATCATCCCAGAGAGCTAGTTGAACGACTTAACAATGGCTGCACTTATTGTCATCGTCAAAGAGACAAAACAGTGCAGTTTTTGAAGTGCACAGGATGTCTCATTGCATCGTACTGCAGTAAGGAATGCCGGCGCAACCACAGACCTAAGCATGAGACATTATGTTTCGCTCTTAAAACTCGTTATGCTGTGGACGTTGACCGTATTCCTCTTACTATGCCAGGATTAGAAGTAATGCCGCGGACGTTTGGCTCTCACTTAGTGGGAATTGGAGAGGGTCCAAAACCAGAACCTAACAGGGAGTTCATTGTCAAAATTCAAACACAACATCTGAACAGCCACCCACTGCAGTTGCTGACACTTTACGACCAAAGTGTCACTATAGATTGTCAAATACAAAGTCCAAAAATCTTCAACGTGATAAAGGACTGTGGCGTTCTTGGAGCTTTAAACAAGTTTACAAGTAAGAAATGTTTTTTCTGGGCCATGTTTACTGAGCCAGGAGGAAAACTGACAATTTATCTTGATCATTTGGCTCCTTATCAGAAGTGGTAAATGTCTGAGTGTAATTTAGACATCAGAGTTTCTCGGTACAATAATTACCCCAAAGATTTTAACTACTGCCCCTATTTTTGAGGGCTCAAGCAGTCACCAATAGTTGTCATTTTGACCAATACTCTTTCAAACACACAATCAAAACCCTTGAGTTTAGGTTTTTTGGTAATCAGACTTGAAAATAACTTTTATTTTTTTAAGTAAGATTCTCAGTAATTATTAATGCATAATGTACATGAAAATTAATTATTTCTCTATTTTGTGGTCCAATGTTAAAGTGGAAAGACAGATTAACTGTCTAATGCTATGTGTTAAAAAATCAAACTTAAATGGTTGATGGTCAATCAACTATTAAACAAATGGCACATATCATTGAATGTTGTCCTTCAGTAGCATTTTAGATAATTGAGCTGACAAAAGTTCAAATGAGACCTGAAACTACAGTAATGTTGATGTTAAAATCTTATAAGAATCCAAGCTTTTGCCAATCTGTGGCATCATCATCAAGAAGTACAGAAGTTAACAAATCACTCTTCACTTTGCTTTTTGCGACGACTGTGGTTTGCTCACCTACATTTCTTGGCAGTGGTGCAAGAAGGTTTATGATTTTTCCAATCTGCTTTTTGACACTCCCTTGGTAAAAATGTGAAAGAAGAATTAGTATTGGTGTCAAAACATAATACCTCAAGCGGTGCCCAGCCAATCTAGAGAACTAAAATATAATGGGACATGAGGATATAAATCGAATTAACTTAGTAAAAAAATATTAACTTTAATTGTGCGTTTTAAGGCGTACACAGTCAGTCATGAGAAGTCTTATTCTTGAATTTTTGTGATTACAACTTACACTTAGGTTGTTCATTTCATGTATCTACCTTGAAACTCAAAAAATCGCAAACACTTTGAATTGCTTTTGACCAATCACAATAATAATCAAGACAAGCAGGCAGATTTCAAAACGACAAATTAATGAGCATTTCAGTTTGTGGCTTTGTTTCCTCACGCTTACATACCGGTAGCTTTTTCCTAGAAACACAACACCATCATAATATTTTGAGTGTTTATATTTTTCTAAGTTTCAGAGTGACAGGTGACAGCTGACAGTTGATTCATCTTAGAATCGATTAAAATATCCTCTTTGAAAATAGTTCCTGATTGATAAGAAATTCTGGACTATAGAAAAATAACAACAGTAAAAGCCCCTTCCCTACAAAAAAAAAAAAAAAAAAAGAAGAAAAAAAAAGGATAAAAAAGAAATTAATTCCACAGCAGCAACTTAAAGGGTGAGTCATCTTTTAATGTCATTTAACGTCAGCCTAACATCGCTAAGAGATGCGGTGGCATTATGGTTGGCACACTGAACTCTGCATCAAGAAATCTGGGATCAAGTCCAAGCCAGGTCATTGTGTTCTGTATATGGGCATGACCCTTACCCACCTACACTGACCTGTCACTACACCTCTCTCCACCCGAGATTTTAATTGGGTACTAGAGAACTGTCAAGAAAGCCTGACAAAAATCTGGCTTGTAACCTGAAATCCCTCATCCGGGGAAGTAGTTAGAGAGCCTTTGCATTCTCATGGTAAGCAGCTATGTAAATTTATTAAAACAGAGGAAAGGCTTTTCATTCTCGTAGGACTGATATAGTTCACCAACATGGTCACCATTTTAATGTTTTGGCTCACTAATTTGGCAGCTGTGACAGTGTGAAAATGATCTCAACATAATTCAAGTTGCTCTGTGAAACAGAACACAGGATAATAATCTTTATCTGAGAATTAAGAAATTCACACCTGCCTCAAGACCTAAAAACAGCTACCTTAAGATCTAAAAACAGCAAATTAAAATACAAAGCCAACTGAAGTTAAAAGAATGAACAATTCAAGTGAAGATACGTACTTGCAGCAGTATTTTTGCATACCACATTGACCACAAGATTTTAAGTCATTCTCTTTGACTTTTTTGTTGCATGCCTTGTTTCCACACATTGCTTTTATTTTCACATTAACAAAAAGTTGGTAGACAGGTGCTATCATATCCTTTAATGGCAGGTTAACATTTTCGAAGAAAGGAAGTCTTTTTTCTTCAGCATCTTGTCCCAGTTCAAAATACTTCCTGAATTCATCCATGTTTCCTTCTAGAAAATAAATTTTTGCCAGGTAGTAACAAGCATTTGGGTATGTCTTGAAGCAGCATGGAGCCTCTACAAGATACTCCTTTAAAACCTTCACTGCTGTGTCTCTTAATTTTTCAGCGGTCCAGGAATTATATTTAGAAAGTTCTCTCAGGTGTGGTTGTTGATTGTCAAGTCTGAGCAACTCTCTGGGTAATTGATGGCTTGAAACCCCTCTTTCAGGGAACTTTTTGGAAGCATACAGCAACATCATTGTATAACCCAGAACTCTTTTAGCCTCATAGTACAACGGGCAGCACTTGACAGAGTTCTCAGAAGCCTCTGCAGCGAGTTCAATAGCCTCTGAAATTGTGTAAATGGATGCTAAATGATAATACAAGACATGAAGCCAGCTGCTGTAGTTCTTATCAAACTCAAATGGGTCTTCACATGGAGAGCTGTTGGGTTCTGCCTTATGGACAAAACTAATCAAGTTCATTATACATAGTATTACTTGGTTGTCAGTTTTTGAATCTTCTTCTGAAAGTTTTCCCCTTTTGAAATTCCGTAAAGCATAGGACAAAAGGAGTCCCTCCAAAAAGCAAGGATTCTTTATTAAAATTTCCTCACAAAGCTGGAGAATATTGGGTGACAAAATAGGAAATGCTTGAAGTATAGAGTTTTCAGTCAAGTATCCATAGGCAATAAGAGTAATTCCTCTCTCATCAGTGAAGTTGCTTTTCCACAGAACTTCAAGGCCTTCTTTGACCAGTTTGTAAGCTCGAAGATAAATTCTTGCTGTTGGGGACCAATCAAACTGACGAAACATTTCTTCTGTGAAAACCACAGGGTTAGAAATTGCAAATGGATGCTTATCTGCCTCTGCTCTCTGCCTTAATCTTTCTTTCATGATGCCAAATGACTGTTTAAAAGCCTCTGGTGAAATGTCTGATCCATCATGCTTTAAGTCGTCATTGAGTTGGCACTGCTGAAGAAGCTAATAACAATAAAGATACATTTAGTAAGTGGTCAACAAATGGTATTGAGATAATCTTGAAGTCACAGAATACCAATTGTAACACACTGAAATGGTTTGATTTACATAAGGGAGGTTAAGGCAGCTGAGACCCAGGAAATGATCTATGACTTGTCTACCACCCATTCTCCCATTTCAAATAATGCTCCAAATCTCAATTTTCCCCCATTCAAGCAACCCTCAAGCTCCCAAGATTTTTTAGTGGTAATTCTCCTATACGTAAAGCAGCTATGGCAACACTTTACTCTGTTATGGTGCTTAATTATAATCAGAGATTGCATTCTCCATTTGGGCCCTAAAAAAAGGGTAAAACAAAAGCAAACCAAAATGAACAACAAATTGCAGTGGAACAAAAAAAAACAACTAAAAATTGCATTTATCAATTTAAATCTGGAGGGGGTGGGGGTCCTGGGGAGACATTTGACCTCTTTTGCCTCCTCTGGCTTTTGACTAAGAGTCTAGGCTCCAGGGAAAGGAAGTTTGATTTTCTTAGGAACATGTAAGGAAACATTAAATGGATTGACAAGGTTGTCTTTAAGATTGTAAGAGGGAAACTACAAATCTTGGCATAATTCAAATGAAGTCTTCGAAAGATTGAAATAACAGTTCCAATGCTTGGAGGGATATTCTTTGCTCAATTTGAGAGGATTTGATCTAATTAACTCAATGTTCGGGGCAGAGGGTACGGATTTTGACAAGCAATTCTTCTAGAAAGTCAAACTCTCCACATATGCCCTGGCCTAGGCTGCTGGGATAATTGATTAAATTGCATCTCCTTCTCAGATTGTTCACATAAGGTTATCAGATTAAACCAACCTCTTTAGCCTCGACATGACCGCTTACAGAAGCTTTTTCAAGCCACCGTTTTGCCTTCCTCAAGTCCCTAATCTGCTCACAACTTCCTTCCAGATATATTTTTCCAAGGTTCAGCTGGGCCTCAGTGTTTCCTAGTTCCGCGGCTCTGGTCAAATAGTGAACAGCTTTCGTTTGCTGCGGTTTCCCTTCTGGGCAATCACCTACAAGATAATACTTATACAAAGATGTCAAAGCTTTTTGTCGAAAATCATCAAGAGAATTCTCAATTTTGTTCATAGTTCCAGCAATAAGAAGACCTAAAGATCCCATCTCTGTGCTATGTTCGACTGTGCTTTCCCCTGCCGCCTTTTTGTACCATTCAAACGCTTCTTTGATGTCTACGTTCACCACTTTTTCAACTCCACATCGATACATTTCAGCCAAATTAAGCTGCGCAGGTATACTTCCTAGACGCGCTGCCTTGTGATACAAATCGTACGCTTTTCGCCGGTTGTGTGGCTCTCCTGTGAGATCCAGCAATTGACCAAGTATTAGTATTAATGAGGGAAGAATGCAGCCATTTTGGACAGCTGCGTCTAGCCACCCGATAGCTTTCTCGGTGTCCTTCTCCACGAATCCTTCGATACCTTCACAATAAGCGATACCAAGGTCACTTTGGCAAGATACTTCACCCTTTTTGGCTCGAGCGATTAAAAATTCTACTGAACCATACGATTCTTTGTAATGATTTTTCAGATTAAAGTCTTCTGCACTGAAAAAGTCCATTTTCCAATGAAGTCGAAATAATTCGTAAACCGAAAGGAGACCTCAGGTATATGCTTGGATGTGCGATTAAACTTTATGACTACGTCATATACAAGACATTATAGTATGCCATATGTTATTTCGTTTTGTCCGCTGAAAGTATTGCAGGCTTGAGAACAAAAAACACGGCTCTGAAAAAGGCGATTTTGTTGGGCAAAGACGAATTTTTTCTGATGTGTTACTTCTAAAGAATTCTTTTTGAAATATGATGAATTTTAAAGGAAAAGATTTAATTTTTTTATCGACAGCTGAGTGACGAGAGCTCGTGGAACGTGAGGGCGTGCGTGTGCCTTCGTGAGAGCGTGCATGGACGGTGAACTACACCAGAAAGAACCCTGGGATAGGAAATGTGTGAAAGGAAAATGGCGGCAAGCGAACTGGGCGGTCTATCTCAGAGTGGGTAAGTTTTTTTCCGTTCTACTCATGGAATTACTTCGTACTGTTTATTGCAAGCTATAGAATATCTTTATCCTAGCAACAGAGCGGACATTGGTGCTGTTAGAAGTGGAAATGAAAGAAAAAGTACGAAGTTTCTCGTGGTGTTGTTGAATTTCCCAGATCTGCCACTGAGATCACGAGATTAAATTACATTTTGCCAGCTAAGCCGTCGTTTGTTTCTAAACATCAACAGTTGGTTCAATTGGAGAGTGTTTCTACTTTAGGAAAGGGAGATAACAAACGAGAACATATGAAACTGTGCTTTAAATATATGTTATCATCCATCGAACTTATGCTGTCAGTTGAAGTATAATCCAACAACGTAGGTTTTCAAAATAAGTTAGTAATGGAAGAGTGGTCTACAAACGACTGAAGTTTTGTACTTTTGAATGTAATTTTTAAGTCTCCCTATAGATTTACTGCCTTAAGAATAATTCATTTATGCACAGAAGCACAGTTAAGTGATAAAATTTATACATTGTGGTTCTCTATTTTGCCATAAAGTGAAAAAAAATTGCAATCCAGTAAGAATTTTTTTCACTTATTTGGTGACAACAATGATGGAAAAAAAGAAATGTTATGGTTAGTGTGTATTCTCCAACCTTGAAAATTTACTAGGTTGTCATTATAGAAGTAATTTTAAAATAGAAGAGAAAGACCTCCTATGAGCTGAGTTCTTCGTGCTCTGATTTTCAAGCTTGGGCCACAAATTCAATTTGAAAAATGAGGTTCTGTGATATACAGTTAGGACAGAGAAAATGAAGTTAGCAAGAAATTTATTATATTTTTGGGTTCAATAGGGGGTGAAGATTTTAATTCAAACAAACTTTTGGTAAACTGACTACTCATAATGTACATATTAACTGAGAGATGTTATGAAAAAGAAACTTCTATCATTGCTTAAAAGAAACTCACTCCTGGTAAAATGAGATGCTAGGGTTAGGGTGAAAAGGATTATTTTACACTAAATAATTTAAATAAATAAAAATTTTTTTACATAATATTCAGTTATTTCTGTCAGAAACATTAACCTATGAAACTTTTTTTTTATCTTTTAGGAATGAAGTGCTCATTGATTTACAGAAGTTTCAAATGACACCCATGGATACAGTTAATGCCGAACATCTGGAGCTCCTAATATTATCATCCAATCCTGTGCGTGATACTGACAAGAGTTGCAATGAATCTGAGAATGTTTCCACTTCTATTGAAGTAGAAACTGTGATGATAGCTAAAGAGGCTGGAATATTTGTTTCAGATGATAGTACCTCATTGGCAGAAACTGCTGAAGGAAGTAACTCATGTGAAGTTAACATTGTGGTTGACAAGGAGTTTAAATGTGCACAGTGTGACAAGAAATTCTCAGGAGCTTCTAGTCTAAGCCGACACATTAAAACCCACAGCAACATAAAGCCATTTAAATGTGATGAGTGTGAGAAAGTGTTCTCCAGGTTGTCGAGCTTGAAGAGACATAAAAATTCCCACACTGCAGAGAAACCTTTCAAGTGTCAAGTTTGTGGATGGAGTTTTATACAGAACTCTGATCTAAAAATCCATGAAAGAACTCACACAGGTGAAAAACCATTTCCATGTGATCGATGTGAGAAAGCATTTGGATGCAAGAAACGGCTCAGGGCTCACTACAGGATGCACACAGGAGAAAAACCTTACAAATGTCCTCAGTGTGAGAAGAGTTTTTCAATGAGGAAAAATGTGATCCAACATATTCGAATTCATACTGGAGAGAGACCATACACTTGTGAAGTGTGCAAGAAAAATTTTCGTCACCAACACACACTTAAAAAGCATTTGCACCTTCACACAACAAGACCAAATTTTACAAAATCAAGGTAATGAATTCATGCTTTGTCAAGTTTTGCTATTGCACTTCAATCAGCTGAGCTTTCAGGTTAACAAATTATTCAAACCTGATGCACTTTGCACACTGTAAGAAGTTCCGGGATCTGATTGGTTAACTTGAATACTACTATGCACTCATAGCTTATAACAAGTGATTTTCATGAAGGACTGACCATTACCCCTTTCTTAACATCTTCAAAATTATTTTGTTCCTAGTTTTCGTACCACTCATGCATATGTTAATAGAAAAATGTGAATTAAACATCCCAAAAATTGCACGCAATTGCAAATAAAAGATCTTGCCTGTCAAAAAATTGCATGTGCATGCACAACCTTGAGATGCTGGCCTCATTAGTATATATGAGGTAGTCCTTTTGTTTTGCTATTCTTGGCAGTTTATTGTTTTAAAGAAAAGGCTACAATGTAACCTACATGGCTACCAACGACAGGTAAACTTGTCTGTTGTAATCGCCAGTTGTTGTATTCACTTGAAATTTTGTGTTCATGGTAAAGTTAGGGAATGGGGTGGGAGTTGGGTTGACCTGGTGTGCAATGTGCTGGACTCTAGACTGAGAGTTCCAGGTTCAAGCATTGCCTAGGTCTTTTTGTTGTGTTCCTAGGCAAGATAATTCACTCTCACAGTGCCTCTTTTCACCCAGGAGTACAAATGGGTATCACTTAATTGTAAAGAGAAACATGAAAAGATGCGGGGGAGTCAACTGCTATGAACTAGCATGGTGTAAATATACTCATGCTCTCTTCATGTTACAGAAAACAGGATAAGCTACAGCAGATACATGTACAAGTATACATCCACAGGTTGCAAAGAGACACTCAGAGAATGCATTTATTTAACATGAGATCACTGCTGTCAGTCTCCAACCTTTGTGTAAACTCATTGAAATATAAGACTAAACCTCACATAAATATATTTAAATTTGGACAAAGACCTGAATTGAATTACAACAGATATACTGATATACATGATATGTAATGATTAACATCAAGTGTTCTCATTTTTGGTTTAGTGATAAAGAGGGAGATGAACAGACTGCTGCTGCATGGCCTAGAAAGAGAAAAGGAACCAAGTCTGGGCAGAAGAACCCTAGAGGAATCAGGTATGGGAAAGAATAATAAAGTTTGAAGTTTACCCTTAAACTCCTAGTCAGCATTTCAAGCTGCAACCATTCTGGTTGCCATGGCTTTTGGGAAAAAAACTTCAGGTCACTTTATTTTCAGTGACCAATGAAGGCCATGAGTGGCTAAGATTTTATTTCAGGCCACCCCTAAATTTTTTGTTGGCCAAGTGTAGAATCTAAAAAACTTTGAGGTTTGAGCGCTTGAAGTGATATACATTTGACATCTTACTATATGCAAACGTGTTACAGACAGATGACAAGAAAGGCAATTAGAGGCTCAAAAATGGAACTTACTGTATCTTAATAGAGAACCAAATTTTGCTTATTTGTTTTGTACTGTACAAGTGTAACAAACAGAGGCTTGATGGAAGAATTGAGAGATTTGTAGAATTTACTTGTAGCAAGGAAATGATGGAAGTTTTTTAAGGTGGCCTCCTATAGCAAGCAGAGCTGTGATATTGAAAGATTGAAGTAATCCATTTTGTTTCTGCTATAATATGTCTTCTATAGTAATAATTTACAAGTAATAGATCTTGGAGAAAGATGTTTTTTGTCTTGTTGTGAGCATAGGACAAAGAAAAAATTCTGAGTCCCCATGAGGAATCAAACCTCAGACCTTCAGATTCTGCAATCTAATGCTCCAACACTGAGCCAACAAGACTCTGTGGTGAGCAAGGCCTATTTGGAAGACATGACACACATCCTGCATACTGCTAGGATTAGCAATGTCCATAGTATCATGTTTGTAAATAGATTAACAGAGATGGTAAGTTTTGAGCACAGTGAAGAAATAGAGAAAGATGTTCTTTGTCTTGTCATGAGCGAAGGACAAAGAAAAAAAAAAACTTACCATATGTCTTACTTTATATTGATAGATCTTATTCCCAGAGATTTTGTGAAATTGAAAAGGCACTGAAAAATTAAAGTTAATGAATACAGGTTGCAGAGACATTTACAGTTATGTTAAAGAGATGTAATTTTTCAAAATTTTCAAACAGGAAGAAGACTGGTAAAAAGTCTGACAGTGTATCTCATGAAAACAGGTAACTGCGTAATGTTATGGATTCATTTGCAACACTAAATTTCTCTATAATATTTTTAGGAGTAGCTAGTGTAACAATAATTTAGGGTTTACAATGGTGCTGGATATTTCCTTTTACACATTATTCATGTAAAGCACAGTTCAAGTGAAGTGTTTTTGGTTGATTATTTAGTTTGTTTTTTTGGTGATTGTAGTGAAAATGGGAAGAGTGAAGGATCCGGTGCCATACAGGAAACACAGAATGACAACAATTTGGTGGAACAGAGCTCCGAGGTCCCAGACAGGTATTTGATGAAAATAATTGTATTAATATCACTCAACATGATAGTGGTATTTATGATAATGATAATGAGAAGAATGATGAGATATCACCACTGCATTAGTGTTGCTATTGTTTTCAAGGTAACAAGAAGGGCTAAAGGACAGAGAGACACTAAATACATTGTATGCTGTCCTCTTTTGTTCAAAGGGCTGCCAATAACCAATTGTGTGAGAGACCTATGTCAAAGTTTTGATCTTATATTTTTCTTCCAGAAATGAAGAGGATTGTTCCTCCCAGAAGATTCAGGAATTTGTCGTTGAGACCTTGAGTGGTGACCATTTGTTGTTACTAACACTTGCAAACAGTGGAGTACATGAAAGTAGTGGTGACGATGGCCAAATACACTCAACTGCATGTCCTGAACCTGTACTGAGCACTTTGCCAGCGCCTGAAGGAGATGTAGTTGAGGCTAATGGTAGAGAGGAAAGCGTAAACAATGAAGATGCTGTGACAATTTCAGCAGGAACAAGTGAGGAACTCCCTGATGAAACATTAATTAACAGTGGTAAATTTAAATGTCCACAGTGCAATAAATGTCTGTCAGGACCATCAAGTCTCAGTCGTCACATTAGAACTCACAAGAATGAAAAGCCTTTCAAATGTGACCAGTGTGATAAAGTGTTCTCCAGGTTGTCAAGCTTGAAAAGACATCAAAACTCCCATTCTGAGATAAAACCCTTCAAATGTCAAGTTTGTGGATGGAGTTTTATACAGAACTCTGATTTAAAAATCCATGAACGAACTCATACTGGTGAAAAACCATTTCCATGTGATCGATGTGAGAAAGCATTTGGATGCAAGAAACGGCTCAGGGCTCACTACAGGATGCACACAGGAGAAAAACCTTACAAATGTCCTCAGTGTGAGAAAAGCTTTTCAATGAGGAAAAATGTGATCCAACACATTCGAATTCATACTGGAGAGAGACCATACACATGCTGGGTGTGCAAGAAGAACTATCGTCACCAGCATACGCTTAAGAAGCACATCCGAATGCACGCAGATAAAAATAAGAATCTGGACAATTGTATCCAAAAAATTAAAGGACATCAGCTGAAAGGAAGCGAGGAGAAAGACAATGAAAGTTGTGAAAGGTTGACAGACAAATCTATTCAGTCAGAACTTGGTGAACAAACTGTGCAGTTGGAAAACACTCAATCTGGTGATCATGATGGAATGAACGTCGATAAACAGTGTGGAGAAAACAATTCTCAGGAAGAGGCTGATCGCAGAAAACAAATCCAAAATTCTGAACAGCATGAGAAAAGTCAACATTTGGAAAATGCTACAAAGATCCCAAAAGAAATGGGGCTAGGCAAGCAACAGGATGATGAGCCAAGTGAACAAAAGAAAAATGATGAACTTGATGGACAAACAAAACTTCTTGAAAGTACTGAACAAGTGGAACAGAGAATTTGAAAACTACAAGTAGTCACAATTTTGATCAGTCAGAAAAAGTCCTGCAAAGAGATCTTGTGAGAAGCAGTGAACATTCTGAATGCACTAAGGAAGTTGAGTGAAAGAAGCAAACCACAAATTGGAAATGAAAGAACAGATCAGTTGTTAAGTTACTCCTTTACACCCTAACATCAGTATGCACATTCTCCATACTGTTCTCTATATATTTCCTATGATGCTGACAAGGAGAATTTGTTTAACAATCAAGAGCTTCTTTAGTTTGTGATGATTTCCTCTATTTTCATGACCTTTATGTGTGATTTAGGGGTGATACTCTAAGAAGAAATTAGATACTGGTTACTCTTAGGGGTCAAAAGGTTTAATGTACATGTAAAGTTGTTAAGTGTTAAAATTTTTGGCAAGGAGAGAAGTCATTGGAGTATGTTCCCTCACTGCAAAGCCCAGTATATATATGTTAGGGCCTTTTCCAAATGCATTACATTATAGCTAAGAAATAAGTTGAGCAGTTTCTAAAATTGCCTCTATACAAAATACAGTGTATTGAAATAGTCATACAGCAAAGAGATTTGAGCTTATTTTAACCAGAAATTCACTTCAAATTTCATAATTTACAAGGGCATTTATGTGAGTTTATGTAATATTATATCAAAACAAAGATGCATGTTGAAGTATGTCTCCCTCAAATGTTGTGCAATTCTTACCACATTGTTTAGATAATTGGTATAGATGACTTATCACAGGGAGGTTATGTGATTGTTACTGTATAAAGAATGTTGTTTATTTCTTTTCACATTGTTGAGAAAGTTTGTCAAAGATGACTTATCAAACGAAGGCTATGTAATGGTTACTGTATAAAGAAGAGCCATGATACTATAATTTGACAGGGGAAAATATCAAATTTTTAAAAAAAATTTTTTTTGATTTTTATTCAGCATGATGCAGGGGGTTTGTAAGGCCTGGTAGAGAGGTAGAGTTTTGTGATTGCACTTTGAGTACAATCTAAGAGAGCTTTAGAATATATTACAGCTGGTTGGGAATTTATTAAATTTAAATTACTAGTGCAAAAGAGTCAGGTTTGATTAAGCAGTGACGATGTGAATTTGTATCAGACCTGTAAAAGTTTTGAGTACAATGTACATGGTATATTTGTTATCTGCTCATTTAGGTAAAACCTGCATGATATTTTATATATTTTTTCATCATATTAATATGGAGACCTTGGTTCAGGTCTCTGAAACGATGTTAAAATTCCCTTTTCTTTGTACAGGTTCCATCTTGACCTGTTTACACCCATGATCTACATGTCAATTCTCTATACAGTCTGCCATACATTTCTCTTACTTTTGGCTTTGAGAATGTAGTGTCAAATCAACCAATATCTTGTTGTTGACTTTCTTTTCTTTTCTTCACCTTTCTACTTGAAAGTATATTTACGTAGTAAGAACAGAGTATTCTAGTCACTCCTGGGAGTATAGGGGTTAAGTTGCAGCTAGTTGCCCCCTAAAAAGTATAACTGTGTGAAGACATAAACAGATAATTCATATGTATTTTTGAAAGTTATCAGTTACTCAGCTTGTAGGTTTGACATGTCAATAAAATCATGTCTAAAACATGTACGTGCTGCAGAAAGAGGGAAAAGAGCATGTGATTCCATAAAAACAAGAAAACAAAAACATTTGGTGCTTTTAATAAGACAAGTTTAAAACTTTTCCTAACAGTTGCATTTATAACCAGAAGTGTCACACCTGTTACCAGAATTTTAAACCTATTACTTCCAAGATCTCATTAGTAATTCTCCTTACTGTCTGCCAAACAATTCTTATGATGGTTGTTCTGAAGATTTTGCATTGGATCAACTAGTAATCCCTATTTGTTTTTTTTCATTATTCTTATCACTTGTCTGCACAATGTTGTATTAATACTGTAAGGAGAAATTCTTGGTCATTCATGGGAGTGAAAATATTTAACTACACATAAACAGTACATTAAATGTAAAAGGAGTAAATTTTGATGAATGCAATTTGATTGCTTGTTTTATTTTTGCTCCAATCTAATTGGCTTGCATTGACATAAACAGAAATTATACCTATACAATCACTAGGAACTATGGCAAATGCCATAATTTCAAATATAAATAAAGCTGTATAAAAAGGTTCAACAGTGTAACTTGAATAAAATAACTACCCTGTATGAAAATAATAATATGGCAATTGATTGTTACCTGTGTAAAGGAAGGCACCTTGAAGCAACCATATTAATCACACAGTAGTATTAAACAGAATCTTGGGGAAAGTGATGCAAAGTAAATTTTTTGAGGCCTACATTGTAATACACTTAGGGGACACATGCAAAACAAATCATTTGTGCAGTTTGAAATCAAACTCCATCTTACACTGGTTTTCAAAACAACAACTGTGTCTGGGCAAAGTGAATGAATAGTTCAGGTGATTTTCCAAGTCTCAGGGAATGGCCAACTCAAATGGGTTCCACTTTCCCAAATGGTTTCCACAATTTGTACTGTCTTTTCTCCTTAGTAAGTTCTTGTGGTCAATCACCTTCTGTCTCAGTTTTAGAAGGTAGTTAACTTGGCAGTTTCTTTGGTAAGAAGGACAGCAAGACAGCCTTATATACAGATCCATCACACCCCTTTTTTCAGCTAGTGATCTTATTTTCTAGGAGGACCATGGATAAATTCATTTTGTGCGGCAGTGAAGAATTCAATGAGGTTATTTCTTTCCATTCTTGGTCCTTCATCATGACTTAAATCCACATCTTCCCATGGCCAGTAATACCGTGTGCCAAGTGATGATCTGCATTTTTTAACAAAAAAGAAATTTCCAGTTATTTTCAATCAAACTTAAATGTAACCCTGCATTGCAGGCAGTGAGTAAGCCACAAGAGTATCTCACTACACTGAACCAATCAAAATGCAAAGTCAGCAGATGTCATCTACACTATTAGTGGGAAAAAAAGAGTATGACCAAGTATTGCATCTAGTTTAGGTTTAAAATCTCATTAGTTGAAAAAGTTGCATCTGCTTTTATGTAATCTAACCAAATTTCAAAGCAAAACCAAAATTAGTTAGTGACAGACTTTCACATAACCAACATAGCTAAGAGTGTTTCTGCTTACCAGACAATTTATGCTAAATAAACTGAAGACAGCTCTTATATCTGAGGTTCACTTACTTGAAAGAAGCCACTGAATCTCTGGGAATTTCAAACGTGGACTCATGAGTGTCTTTGTTGTAAAAATATAACTGCTTAGCAGAGCGACTGTGAGCATAAGTCCAAGGTTCTGTAGATAAAAAAAAAAATCAATAGTGCATTTGTTTCATAGTGGAGGCGGATTCAATACCGACTTTTTGTGCACCTCACTCCCAGAGTTCCACAAGGTGCACGACAGATTTTGCTGAAAAGGAGGGGCTGTGCATAGTCTAGAGAAATTCTGTGAGGAGGAAAAGTCTTGTGGCAGAAGTGGAGTTTTCCAGAAGTGCTGAGGTATAGTGGTGGAAGTGAAGTGCCACATGTGACTTGTATAGTTTGAGATGGAAGTGGGCCTGTGATGGATTTAGATTGAAACAGAATGATGATTGCTTACCTTGAATACGTTTAATAAAGAAAATTCCTTTGGGGACAAGGTGTCGTCCATCTTCCAGCAAAAAGCACTCCCTTGGTTCTCTGCCCATTCCTTTGACAATTTTCATCTCAATCCTGAATTGAAAGTGAAAAAGAAAGAATGTAAGTTTCCCTTAACATAAGGGATGCGATTGTCTCAAGTTGAACCACAAGCCAGCAAACTGCAAGGGTCCAAGAGGTGAGCATGGTTAGTGTCTAGGTACAAGAGCATCACCAAACAGCAAAAACAGCCAACCATGCGGTGGGAGGTGAAAGTTAGTCCTACAATAAGTGTAAATCTAAGTAGAAAATGTTTCAAAAAGTACATAATGCCTCTTTCAGAAGCTTCTCTTCAATTCAAAACTACTTCATCATTCTGCATTATCTGCACTATAAAAATGTAAGGTCATGTGAGTTTGGTCATTAACATTTGTGAGGAAACTTACTTTGAGAATATTTCTTTAAGCGAACTATTGTCAACACGAAAAACTTGTTTGAGCCTGAAAGAACATTTGAAAATTAGATCAGTAAACTTCATAATTTTGTGTTTTACACTGATGGTGATAGTCATACTGTACAGCTAGATAATATATTTTTTCTACTTCTTTCACTGTGCATTTCAAGACTTCTACAAGTAAGAAGATTTTCACTTGCTTCTTTAGTCCACAGTTACTCTCATATTTGATTGAATTATAGCAGTAAATTCATCATCAGGTTGGTTAGTTGTTTTTCAGTAGGTTGGGTGTTCAGTAAGGCCATCAGTCTTTCAGCTTGGTGGTCAATGCCTGGTTGACTGGCTGTCACTTGTCTCTGTACTTGATTTATTGTGTTTTAGTTGGTTGATCAAGTGATCGGTTGTTCAGTTGATTTGTAATCTGTGGGGTGATCAGTTCTTTGGTTCATCTGTTGAACATTTGAACCTACCATTTATTGATTTTTGGTCTTGAAGTTTGTGAGTGGAATATGATATCTGTGTCATCTTCAACTATCATTTCACGACCTCAGTTACCTGTTAATATGTCAATTGAATGTTTACCTGAGAGGAACCATTGCTGGGCATGTCGGTTTGGTGACAGCTTTTATAAGTAAACCCGCCATAGCCATTCTACAAACCAAAGCAAACAACAAGTCATCAACAAACTCACCAATCTTCATTACTAATTACCCAACAAACCTTTAAAAAAAGAACCTTGTGTAATGCAAGTAACGCACATGCTTGCCCAAATTCTCTCTCACAAAGAAATCAGAAAAAACAAAAGGCAAAGTTTAATCAAAATTCATTTTTTCTTAAGCATCAGAATTCACACTGTACCTCTCGTGATAGTGTTTACTCCTCACATCTTTACCTCCAAGAATGACAGCATCCACAATATGAACTGCTGCAGATCTTCTCTGTCCTTTGCCCTTATAACAGGAGATAAAAGCACCCACACCTGAATTCTCTGGTATCAAACACCTCTGTTAAAATGTACCTTTCCACACACTAGCTTATCACTTAGCTTGTCATGCAACACTTCTCCGGAGCAAAGTGTTGTGTGACATTAGCTGAAAAGTAGCCTTCATTTCACAACAGAACAGTTAAATTTAAGTCCCTTTCAAGAGGGTGGGGGGGAAGGGAAAGGATCTACTTATTAGTTTAGGACATAATATTGCTCTTTATTAACCCAAAAATAAAAATAAGAATAACAAAAACAACCTTCTCAATGTGAACATTTTTCCTGAAATTTTTTTTGTCAATACTTACTTCTCCACGAAGCTCTTGCACTATTTCCACCTCAATCAGAGTATCCCGAGGAAGTTCGAGCTGAAAATTCTCCAGTTTGTGCCACCTGGTTGAGCTACCAAAGTTTGGCTTGCCATTCCATTTGTAGATGTTACCTCGCTAGAACCAAACAAAATCATCAGAAAAAAATTATCACAGAAACTATGAGAATATCTGGTCATAAGAAGGAAAACTGAGGAATTTAAAACTTGTTCCTTCATTACTATCAACATAAACCTGGTATCTGAGATCTAAGTCCTAATTCTCCTTTCAAGGTACTGTAAATTTCCTTGCAAATTAGTTGAGAGAATTTGGTGCTAGATCAAGATAACACTCCCAACTCATCTTCTGTTTATTAAATAACTTTCTGAAGTTGTAAACAAGAGCAACATTTTGATCACTTCTGACTAAGCATTTTTCCTCTTTCACACACCTTTTTATATCAACAAGATTTCCCATAAACTCTCAACCATGTTTCATCTCAATATTATTAAAAATTATCTTTCATACATCACATCTTTAGCTTGTTTTCTTTGTGGTTAAAAATCAGAATGAAAAAATGCTTTCATTCTTAAATAAAATGATATACTAATATTTTTTGTCAAAAAGGAAAATTTTAAGTGAGTTATTGAGGAAATAACTGTGACCTCTTGGCAAATAGACTATGAAAAAAAAAGGCACGCTCAAAGTGCCCACTGGTGACATGCTCACATGACAGGGTGATGGCAAATGGGTGCATAACATTCCCCACATGACACTTACCCCAAGGCCCATAAGAAAGAACCTTCCCCTCCTGACACAAAGCACTTGTAGTTGTACAGACACTTAAGGTTTTGGATGTTCCTTGAAGTTAACACTGTAGCTTCAGAGTCAAAGCAATGATCATCATCATTTCCCTAGAAAAAAGGAAAACTAATTTGGTGAATGATATGAAAAATTGAACAAAATTAATCAGCAGGTCCTCATGTAAAAACAAATCTAAATACCTTCCAAAGCTCATCAAATTTAAGGTCAGGATCTGGCGTCCTTTGAGCTGCGCGGGCTTGCTCAGGAACCTGAAAATGATTGCAAAAAACATATACCTTATTTACTGGTTGGGGATTACTGTATGGAAAAAGCTATGGATGCACTAGGAAGTTTTGTAGGTAGGGGATTCAGGAGAAGGAAAGAGAGAGTCAGGACGAGTGATGGGTGATGATTGACAGTGGAGGAGAATCAGAGCTACAGACGACAGGTGGCTACAAGAGACTCTGTTGTGTTCATGGCAAGACACTTAATAGTTTTAAAGCACCTCTTCAAAAGTAAAAGATGGGCAATAAGTGGCTCTTGTACCTTAGGACAATTTTCCATGGGGTTTCAAAGGAGTGGAAGATTTTTGCATCATAGCAGTTCTCCTTCTGTAGTAAAACAAGTTCTCTTACCTTCCACTGCTTTAAACACTTTTTCTTGACATCCCCTTGGTCATAAGGACCCATCAACGTCCTAAGAAGCAAACTCAGTTACATACTGAAACAAGGAACAATTAAAAATCCACAATCCTAGTCCACAAATTTGGTCTCAGGTAAGGAACAAACCCACATGATTGATGGGAAGGAAGGGGGGTCCAGAACCTGCAGCCCCCCCCCCTACCACCTCTGGATCCACCAAAATGATAGGATGTTGGAGATTGGAGCCAAACAAAGTTAAGATTTTGATAGACAGATTTGTACAACTGAGTACAATCAAGCATATCCTGTTCATGGTGAGTTTGTATACATTATATACATTCATGTTTAAAAACTTGTGCATTGTGACTTGAGAAACTTAACTTTGCTACAGGACACATTCCCAACATGTACTTGTAGCCCATTAGTGACATTTTTTTTTTTTTTTCTAAGAATTAAGAACCTCCTGTATCATTATGAGGGAAATAAAATCAAAGGTTCAAAACTTACGTATCCTGGACATAACCTCTTAGTTTCTTCAGTGCATTGAATTGTTGCCTTCCAATTCTAAAACAAATCAGAGAGTACAACACAAAAATGTTGTTTGTTTTCCAAGCAGTTCATGTCACAGTATTGTATTCATGTTTCATTGAGATGTCAAAGGTAAAGGCAAGTTCCACATACCTTTCATTTGATTCAATCATATATGACAAGAACTCTTCATCTTCCTTCAGGATATGCAATGGGACAATCTGAAAAGCCAAATAATAACACTTGAAGTTCATTTCCCTTTTTAGCACAAGTTATCAACACTTAATATTGTTTTATCTCCCACTGTACAAGGCTTTCTTTGGTGAATTTAGTGGACCATACTCTACTACTGTACATGACTGGCCAAAATTTAGTGTTTTTCTTGTTGCTAAAATCCTATTTTACAGCTGATCAAGTTCTCAACTTGCTCCAGAAAATAAAAATTCTTCTCTTTTCTTTATATTATGCATTACAGCAAAAAGTGCTTACATCTGAAGTAAAAGTTGATCTCTAACTTACTTGTTCTCCTTTCAATGTCGTCAGTCATAGTGGGCACATTATTAAAAAATAAATATTTCATCATATGATAATTCTCATGTTTTTGGTTCATAGAGTAAGTTACTGAACCCCTAACACATTAGTTAAAGTTACATCCTATTCTTTAAAATGATAAACCATCCACAATAAAAAAACAAAAGGCCTAACTCTTACATACTAATTAGGTAGATGTATGAAGCTTATGCACGCATGTGTGATTTTTTTTTTGACATGCACATTTTTTATTGTTTGCACTAGCATGCAATTTTTTGGCACGTTTTATGTGCATTTTTATTGCTTAACGATATCCAAGCAGTACTGTATTTTCAAAACAGTAACATTAAACTGAATAGCAAACCTCATTTACATCCTCCACAGCTCCAGCTTTTAATTTATTAATTCTGACATTCACATTAAACATGTGCTCATGAACAGCTTCAATGTTTCCACGAAGACCTTTGCATACAAGATATCTATATGAAGGAAATATTACATTCTTTAAGTAAACCAGTTCAAAATATCAATTCTCACTACTGTTTGTCACATAGTTCTTTAAGAAAGGTTCTAAGAAGTTAAAGTCACATTGAATAACATTCACCTCGTCCACTGAATCCAGATTTAATTTGTGTCAGAAACCAGAAAAACCTTGAATAAAACCCCTTTATGTAGAACAACGACAGCTGCACAAAAAATTTTAAAAAATGGAATGCTAGCAAAGCATTAATGACTGGGAAAGGAGGAACTGCTTGTTGTTTATTTGAACACATACCTCTCTGAGTTAGCTGGTCTGCTGGTTACAGGTTTGAAGACATATACCTCATCAAATGCTCGGTACATTAGGTACACAAGACCAACACTGAACGCAGTGAACACGTCAAACAACTTGCAGACAAAGTGGCCTCCTTATAATCAGAGAGGGTATGACAAAATTAGAGCTGTTTCATTGTAAATCCGTTTAAGCCACTCTCTGAAAAATTGACCGGCCATGTTCAATGAATTAGGAATAAAGATTCCTTACCTTGTCTTAGTATAGATATTGCACAAAGGAATTGGCATAAATACAACTGTTTGCTGAGAATCTCTTGTATATTTTCCTGCCCTTCCACAGAGAAACCCTGCCAACAAAAAAGAGTAATCTTACATGAATGAAGAGAGTGTGTGTTAAAAATTGGTCACAAGTTGAGGAGAAGAAAAAGGCTTGAGTTCCTTGTAATTTTGAGCTTCAAACATTCCAGTTTTGTAGGAAAAGACTAGATGTCAATAGAGCTGCAGAGAATTTGTAAGCATGCTACTATTATTAGAAGGATCTTATGTGTGGAGAATCATGCATGCTCAAACCAGCAGTATCCAAAGTACTCAGAGCAGTGATAAAGTAAAAAAATGGAAAAATTTGAGCTTGTTGAGTGAATCATTATCTGTCTAATGTATGGTATGATTGTTGATTTTTCTGGATATATATCTCAATATGGCCCACTGTATTATAAAGTTTGTTTGAATTAGAATTTTCCCCCTCTGATTGAAATCAGAGATTAAATATTGTTTGTATGGAACCTTGTCTTTTCCCACTCGGATTTATGGCCTGCACACTTCATGCTTAGGCCATAAATCTGAGCATAAAAAGTCTTTTTGTAACTTATGGTACAGACCTTCAACTCAGTTAGTAAGAAGCATGAAAAATGGCTGTTTAACCCTTTAAGTCCCACTGGTGACTTAGAAAGAATTTCTCCTTACACTATCAGTAATGATATCAAGCAGACAAGTAATGAGAATAAAGGAAAACATCAATTAGGGGATTATATATTGATCCAATTCCAAATTCTCCAAACTAACTTCATATGAATTGTATGGGACACAGTAAGGAGATTTACTAATGAGATCTTGGGAGCTAAAGGGTTAACACTGTGCCATATGTATTTATAAGTATCAGTTGCACAAAGATCCAGGTTGATATCAACATGAAATTGTCAAAACAATCTGTTCTGAAATTAACTTACACCATCTGCCATCACAAAATGAACTCCTTTGTTATCAGTTGACTCCATCACAAATCTTCTGAACTCAATCAGATTATCTTCATTGAAGATGTCTCCATCATCATTTGCTCCTAAAGTACATTCAAATTATTCAGTATGCAAAAAATTTTATATTCAAAATTAACTTCAAATACTGGGAGACTCTTCCCCATGAGAGAAAAACATTACTTCAATCTCAAAATTTTTCCTCTTACCATAATGTGGCTCAAATGTTTCTGGCGTTCCAGCTAAGAACTCTTCAAGCTTAAAATCATTGTCACCTTTGAAGGAAAAGTGTGATGTAAATAATGATGGATGAATGAAAATTAGAATTATAATGTGGCAATTATGTAAGCATCCAGTCATATTGAACAATCAGATTATGTGAAAGATTTCTACTGTGTTATGGTTGAGGAGAAAGCCCTAACCAACTATCACAGCTAGAGATCAAGAAAAAAAAAAAGATCACATCCAGACATGCTGATGCTTTTTGTATTATTTTATTCACAATCTCACACTGGCAGGCTGTTCACTTTGTTCAATGTCTATTACGGATTAGATCTAGATATTGCAAGTATTGTAGCCAATCAGACTGCAACATTTAATATTAGTGACAGAAGTTCAACACTGGTAGATTTATACTTGCCCAATAACTTACATTTCTTCGATAAGCAGAATGATCCACCACAATTAATTTCAACATTTCTTATCATTTTTAACTAAAAGTAGTCAACAGGCCTTGGCAAGAAGACCTGTCAGTACCTCTTAAAGTGAAGCCAAATCCTTTAGCTTGCCAGCCCTTTCGCCACAGAACATACTCTGAAAAACCACCAGGTCCGGCACAAATATCCGCAAAGTATAATAAATCATTTGGTCCAACCACATCCCTCTACAATAAAAATTGAAAAATAATGTCAGAGTTACAGTTCTGCCCCTTAATCAAGCACTTAAGTCAGAAGAATAAAGGAAATGATCATCAACTAAGCTCTTGATTCTTAAACAATTTCTCCCTGTCAGAACCTTAGGAAATGTATAGAGAACAGAATGGAGAATATGCCTTCTGATGTTAGGGTATGAAGGGTTAATTGAGTGCCAGGCTTCTGAACACAAAAACAAAAATGAAACATTGAAACAGGAAATGCTTCAGCATCTCACTCCAAAGATCTAATTGGTAATTCTTCTCACTGTCTGTCATACATTCTTTTGATATTATTGGGAGAATTTAGCATTGGATCAACTTAAAGTCCCCTAGATTATATTCTACTTTATTCTCATCACTTTTCCACTTGATATTGTGTTGATATTGTAAGGAGAAGTTTTGTCTTGGTCACTCATGGGAGTTAAGGGTTAATGTATGAAAGCAATCCAAAGTCGGGCAAGTTTATGAATTTTACAGGCTGCCAGAAAAACCCTCTTCCTAGACAAGCTAAAGTTGTTCATTCTGATGTAACTATTCTCCCCTCCCCCAAGGAGAGAGGGATTAACCTTTGAAACCCTAACAGTGACTAGCATCTAATTTCTCCTCACAATATCACCCCTGAATCACACATTAAGGTCATGAGAATGAAGGAAATGATTACCAACAAAAAAAGCTTTATTCAGTAAACAAAATCTCCTTGTCAGCACCTCAGGAAATGTTTAGAGAACAGTATGGAGAATATGCTTACTGATGCTGGGGTATAAGGGATTAAGAGCCCTTGGGTTAATTACAGAATCAAAGGGTGTAACATGTTTCATTACTTACTCCTCTGTCATTCTTCGGGTTGGTAAACATGAAATCAAAAGCAGAGTCCATGTTCGCCATTTTCATTGCCGCCCTGTTAATAAGGAAAATAACACATCATTGACAGAAATTCTGAAAATGACAGGCTTCATCTACCATTGATGCCAAAAGTGATCAGCACATACACTCTCACTATATTTTAATACCTTATTGACAAAGAAGGTCACGAGAATTGCCAAAATAATCATGAAGAGGATGCTCTGATGTGACGCTTAATTCTCTGAACTATACCACCAGGAAATGCAGTCATCACTAGGTAAGAGAATTAGCTTTCACATTTAGGGAATCCAGGAATCAATGTCAGTATTCAAGCAACTACACACCAACCCCTACAAGTTAGGCTTAGTATTAGGTTAAGGGAGGGGTGAGTGCCCAGTTGCTTAGATACTGACATTAATCCCACTGACCCATGACATTAGAGCAGTCTTCTTTGTGTTACCTGTTTTGAAAGACAGCCCCTCTGATAAACTCATATGGATTGGCTCGTGTTCTTGCTTTGAGGAACTCATCTCCACTAAGAGCATCGAAAACAGTCTGTAAACAGGATTTAATGACATTATAAATCATAAATTGTCAAACCATTGGGTAACATGTGAAAGTGTAGTTTCATTGTCCAGCACAGTGCAGTCCTGAGATGTTATCAGCAGTTGTAACTGACATTTCAACAACCTGAGTGGAAATCATCATGACAATCACTTGACTCTCATGATGACTGTCACTCAGATTGTCAAAAAGTCAGTCACTTGACTCTGATGATGATTTTCACTCAGGTTGTTGAAAGGTCGAAAGGTCAGTCACTTGACTCTGAAGATAATTTCCACTCAGGTTGTCAAGAGGTCAGTTACTTGACTCTAATAATGACTTCTGCTCAGATTGTCCAAAAGTCAGCCACTTGACTCTGTTGATGACTTCCAGAAAGCACTATTTCAGTTACTGCCTCTCAATTTAAAATCTGAACAGAAGTCAAAATCAAGAGAGAACTAAACAAAAGATTTTTCTTAATACTGGAAAATATCTAGGAAACTCTACCTTGCTCTTGAGAACCTCTGATAGAACCTCCTCACTGCAGAATTCTGTTTCATCATCAATAAACAATTTTTTCTAGAAATTGGGTACAACACATTTAATGTTCAATTGTATACTCAGTAAATAATTAATAATTCAAATAATTTAACATAATGTTCTTCACTATATCTTGGGTAGCTGGAAAAATATGCAATTTGTTTTCCTGTAATCATTTCACTCAAAATTTTTTTGGCTAGTAATTATGAATATTTAGAAGAAAAGGAGTATTCCATTTAAATCATTTCAATTAAATAGAAATTACCTTTTTACCTGTAACTAGCATTCAAAGCCATCTCTAAAGAAACCCCTGCTACAAAATCAGTCTCCAAGAATTTATCTAATTTTGCTGTAATGAGAAGACATTGCCCAACTTCATAATTTTACCTTACTAACTCCAACCCAGTCCTCCATCTCTTCTCTTGTTGGTGGAGGTCTGGGACATGATGGAATGCATGTCCTGTGCTCTACTATGACTACCTAGCAGAAAAAAAAAATTAATAAAAAAAAAATACAATTGATAATAATAAAATCATAAGAATAATAATAACAAATGAAAACAAAAAAAAATCAAGATAAGATAACAATACAATATGATTCATGTGACAAGTGTGGATTATACACTGTGGTGCTTAAAGCAAATAAGATGTGTTAATTGAAAGTTAAAATTAAAACAAGAATTCTTACTTCCTCTTCCTCTTCCCATGAAAAATCTTTGTCATCAAAGCCTTCAACCCTGAAACCCAGACCACGCCTTCCACGCTGTTGAGAAGTCTCAATAATGTCAGATCTTCCTTGTCCATATCTGCCAAGACCTCCTTCCTCTTTAAAGCCCATTCTTTCCTATGGAAGTAAATAGTGGCAAACAAAATCATTGTCAAGTTTAGTTAGAAATATATACCTGTTTCATTTTTGATTGTCAGTAAGAAAAATATTACTACATAAATTTTGTTGTAACATTTGCCTATTTTCTTACGAGAGTGTAGAGTGTTTTTTTAAAAAAAAAAAATCTTTTGGTTTTGCTTGTGCAAGAATTTCCCAACCTTCTAGTCCACTCATCATGTATCAATAAAAACAGAACAAGAGTCAGTACCATTCTAACACATTTGAATCAGTTCATACCATTTGTTTTTTAGCAAATGTACTGTATCCAGATCCTGGTAGAGGGTTACTGTTCATCTCATCTTTAATAGGATCTCTTTCCCTACTACCCTCTAAAAGCTCAGACTTTCCCTGTTCTGACTTTCCAAGACCAAATTCCTGTTTATAGCCCATTCTCACCTGAAAAAAATTAGCAAATTGTTTAAATGTTTTGAGTAAAAAGTTAATTAACTTCAGCAAATAATATTTTGCTTGACAAGGAGAATTTGTTTGCCAGTGAAAAGGTTTCTTCCCTGATGACCATTTCCTTTATTCTTATGACCTTAATGTGTGATTCAGAAGTGATATTGTTGGGAGAAATTAGATGCAAGTCACTCTGCGGGTTTAAAAGGTTAACCCTTTAACTCCCAGAAGTGATTAACATGTACCTTCTTCTTACAATATAAATGAATTATCCAGCAAACAGGTAATGAGAATACTTAAACCTATTATCTTGATCTAAACCAAATTCCCATAACTAATTTACTAGGAAATGAGTCGCAGCTAGAGGGGAGAAATTACAATCAGATCTTGGGATTTAGAGGGTTAATACCATCTCTGTTTTATATGATAATGTCTTTTGAAGAAAAATTAATGGCACAATGAACAAATTTAGTGTTTTCTGATTTGTCAAAAAATAAACTCATTTAGAGGGGAAATATCTATCTCTGTCAGTTACACAGAGTAGTCTGGGTAGGTTTTTGTTTTCTAAAACAGGCAGCTAACATTCATAAGATAAAATGAGAATGATACACTTGATTTCAAAAACATTAACACATAAAATGCATGATCCATGAACAATGAGACCTAGTGGTTTCATGAATTTTCCATTATTCGTGGAAAGTCTTTATTCATTAGTTTCATAATTCTTTTCTTTCAGAAATACATGGACAGCTTCCATCCAAATTATTGTTTTTCAGGTGCAAAATATAATAATGTAAAAATCAATACCATCTGTTTCTTGACAACATCATTGAAGACAGGTTTCTGATCATACTGCAGGAAGTTTGCATATGATGGTGAAGAAACGTCCTCATCTGAATCACTGCTGGAGAGATCTGAAAGTACATGATAATTCAATTACTGAATGCATTTGATTTGTATCTGTTTTCTGATGGATATTTCCTATTAATGTTATCTTAGTATCACCTTTTCTTACAGCCTATCATGATGGAAAAAATTACTTAATGAGGTGAAACAATTATAGGTGTCTTGGAAGCTTTCATTGTGGTCTAAAGATTAAAAACACTCACAACAAACCACTAGAAATTACTAATGCAAATCAAACCAAACACAATCACAAATCAATTAGCCAGTTTCACAGGCATCGTCAGGGAGTGGGACAGGGTACTACCAAGAAACAATCCTGCATTTCTCTTGGCAAGTGGGACTGCTGATCTTTGGCTGCCCTTTCATAAAAGAAGAAGTGTCTCTTTTTGGTTTGAGTATATGTGTTTAATCTACTGGAGGCAGTTCACATATAATTTTTTTAAGTGAAAAAGTTAAAGATAGATTTAGAATCTTGGCCCCTATGGTTGAATGAAGAGCTTGTTGGACCCTCAATCTGGAAGTCTGTGGTTCTAACCATGAAGAAAGAAAAGGGGGCCTCTTTGGTCACTATCCTCAGGTTGCTCCCTTAGCATTCTTACCTGGTTCATTCTACAGAAAAATTGGGATTTGCTTCGGTCGTTGCAAGATCCCTGAGATTGTGAAATTTCTTAGAAAAAACGTCAATTGTATTGAAACATTCATTGTTATTTACAGACCGCGCACAAAGTGGATCTCAGATTTTAATAGTTGCACAAACTTGCTGAACCTTAATGCGGGATGCACTATCGATTGAACGTAAGGATCGCAAGTGTGAAATTCATATCAGACCATTCTACTCTAGATCTCTATTTCAATTTACATTGTATACTTACTTTTTTCCTTTTTGAAATGCTTGATCCCACCTAGACCTGAATCTTCATTTTTGCGTTTAGACATTTCGGATTTTTCCTTTAAACATTCACCACGAGCTGGAAAATCCTGCAACAGCACACTTGCACACCAAAGCCGGAAGTGATCAGAACAGTTTTAGCTTATTCAAGCTAAATTATGTTTCTTATGATGAGGTAAGAGGTGAACATAGAGTTTTCTTCATTCTCAAGCACCATAAAAAACCATTCACTGTAGTTGTTCTTACTTTTCTGAATGTAACCTAGAGAATTGGAAATCGACAACTGACCGCCATATTTTTGCCTGAATACTGGAGGTGGACTGGAGAGGAAAATAGTAATCTATAGTTCGAATAAGATACACTGAACAATCTCTTTTGAGCGACCGTCATGCATCAGGCGAGTGATACTTTGAATATTCAGACGGTTTGGAGATTTGTAAACAATGCACCAGCTAAGTAACACAAATTGATCCTTGATCTGTCTGAATATGGAAGTAGAACTTACTTTTGATGCAGTGAATTCTTGTAACTTTGCGAGAAAGCGGCAAGCGGCTCAGGAGAGCTGTTCAGAAACACAATCGAAGGTAAACATTGATGGATACTTACAACACGTGTTTTGAGAATCTTTTTTCTGTTTTAATCTACTTTCGCTTTCAACGTACTTTACGAATTATTTTGAAGTTATAGTCGTCCCAGATTTCCATGAAAAATGCCATAATATTGCATATTATTAACAATATGAAAATAATTAAGTCACTTATTCAGTTATTCCTCCGAGGGGATTTTTCCTTCGAGCCCAAAAAATTGATTATTACTCTTACAGGAAAATCGATCGAAGGAGATCGACAGACTTCCAAAGGACCAAAAACCTTTAAACCCTAAGGATAACCAGCATCTAACTTCTCGTTAAAGTGATACTGCTTAAAAGGTCAATAAGATCTTGACAATAAAGGAAATGGTCGCCAACCTACGATCGGAAGCTTTGATTGTTAAACAAATTTCCCTTGTCAGTACCAAAGAAAATATAAATACTGAGAATATAAATACTGATGTTAGAGTGTAAAGAGTTGATCGATTCACAACCACCGTAAAAAATATAATTTGTCTCTGCCATATCTATAGAAGCGACCATGTCTCGAAGACTGTTGCTGGAGTTTGGATAAAGCTTGCAATGAGGGATCAGAGAACAGATCCTTAAGTTGCACAATGCCCATGGTTTTAACACATCAACGACCAGATAATAATTGTCCATCATCATCTGACCCTTGCACTACTTCATTCACTGGACACAGCTACAAGGACATTAACTGTAACATACTGAATCAAGAGAATCAGTCGCAGGAAATGGACATTTCATGTGATACAACAACAACAACAAGTAGAGCACTCCATCAGCAGACCTTTTCTGTGAGTTAATTTGTGTTTTTGAAGGACGAATATGCTCTAGAAACCATGAAAGAGTATATATTGTGTACCTATTGACTTAGGTTGGGCAAAGTCTCTGTCATGTCATGCAGTCTGAGCTATGCTCAGTGCATGCGTCATGACCCTTCAGTAAAATATTTTTCAGTAAGTCAATAAGCAATTTATCATAACACTGCAACTCTGTTTCTTTCTTCCTCTTCTCTTTTGTTATTCTTCTCACAGAGCTATATGCTAGACAGAACAGCTTTTCCTGACCTCCTTGTGCCATCATGGAAAGTTCTCATAGAGAGATTTGTTTATGATGTTTTTCAATAAAGAGTGTGTGCATTTTTCCCTACAAGCAGTGAAAGAAATTTATCCTGATATACATGAAACAATGGCTTCATTTTTTGCACTTCTCTGGCAGGTCCCACCCATCATAGCTCAGTATTATTCATCTTCAGCATCCTGCTTTCGCTGCTTGAGAGGAGAAGCGGTAGGTCTTTTTAAGTTTGATTTCCATGCTATGATGACCACTTGCCAATCAAAAACTGAAGGCATTACATTTACTGAGCAACTGACATCAGCTGTTTTCATTAAAACTTTGCACAGTTATTCTGCAGTAAGAAATGATGTTATCTTTAACCAATTAGAGTATACAGATCTCTTTAATTGCATGATGAATTATCCTATTACTAAATATCAGTTTTAAAGAACATTTTGGAAGCTTTTCAAGATGAGAAAATTGTAAATGAACATTTTATCCTGGGATGCCCATTCTAGTCCCTTTTTCATAAAGGCAGTATTGCCTTATCCAGCAATGTATTCTTCAAAGAACACCTCTCACCCCAAAGACAAATTTTTCCTTTCTTCTGTGCCATTCCCAATTGATAACTAGTATTTTTTATTTTTTAACAGGGACACATGAACCACCTGACCAGTTGATCAGCAGTCTTATGAGCATTTTGTTTACTTTGATACTGACATGTACATAAACTTGAAGGTTTTTTATATATAAACATATTCTCATTCAGTCACTTGTCTTATTTGGCTGTCTGGTATTACTCATTGCAAGACAATTTTACTGTAAATAAAACACAGATGTCCATGACTGAATTAAATATACATATGTATATATTATGACATGTATGGTGAAGTCTATGTTTACTTTGGCATGGTGTGATATACAAGAAATGGTCACTTTTGTTTAAAATTGATCACTGTTACCTGAAAATGGACTTTAGTTTTCAAAATGGGATGCTGGTTATCTAAAACATTGGATAATAGTTTTACTATGTACTGAAACAGCAGTTAAAGGTGTGCTCTGATTGGCTTACAAACGTTGAATATCCTTTGCTGTTCACCTCCCAGAAACTCGTGCCATATTTGTGCCTGAAACTATTGCAATAGTTACAGTTTTATAGAGTTAAAATCTTCTTTTTGTGTGGTATTAGCTCCCTGTTTTACTAAAACAACCATTTGTATTTAACCCTTAAATCTGTGAGAATGAATCAAGCATTAAGGTCATGAGAATAAAGGAAATGATCATCAACTGAAGTGACTCTTGATTTTTTGAACAAATTCTCCTTGCCAGCACATTAGGAACTGTTTAGAGAACAGTATGGAGAATATGCATACTGATGTTAAGGGTTAAAAGGGAGACACTGGTATCTGGAAAAGGGACAATAGTGTCTGAAAATGGACATAAGTGTCCCAAAAAGAAGAAAAAATAGATATCTATGTTACATCAGTGTCCAAAATTGAACTTCTGGGCCCAAAATTAGATGTTAGATTGATAAAATATGCTTGTGTATTGAAATGGATGGTGGTGTACAAAATTGTACAGTAAAGTTAAGTGACAGCTAACTACTAATAGACAGTTTGGCATTGTGTGGGTCTCAAATGTCCAAATGTGACAGGCTGAAACAAGAGTTCTTGTCCAACAAATTGGCCAGAAATTGTCTGAATTGAACTCAGACACAGGGACTGAAGAGAATCACAGATTGGTGTTGAAAAGGTTACCTTGGTAGACTTCTGCTTAATTTATATAAGAGGGATTGTGAAAAGTATAATTTTATGTGGTCTTGTTACATCCAATGACTTCTCATTTACTATTTTAAGACATGTCTCCTTAAAAACCTTTAAACCCGAAAATCAGTATGCATATTCTTTAGGCTGTTTTCTATTCATCTCCAAGGGTGCTGAATAGGAGACTTTTTTTGTGATCTTATTGTTTGATTCAGGGGTGATATTGTGAGGACAAACTAAATGCTTGCCTCTCCTAGGGATCAAAGGAATTATTACTTTCAACCTTTTTAAAGCAAAAATACACAAAATTAAAGTTTGACTGTAATGTGCAGCACCTCAAGTACATCCAAGGGAGTGAAACACTGTTAATCTTAATAATAACAATAATAATTGTAATGATAATGATAATAGGTGCGTAGGTTTATTTCATGGCTTTGTGGAAGTGTAATGGCAAACGCACTGCCACACCCAAGGCACGTGGTCATCTTCATTTCTTCTTACAAAACAGTGTCAACATTCTAAACAAGCTAAAATACATAAGGCATCTTTCTCTTTTTTATGACCAAGCTGAAATATCTCTCTCTTATTCCTTACACTTATATCACGCTTTTGACATAGCTTATCCTGGCAGTATGTGGAACGCGTGTCACATAATGATATGAATCCCGTAGGGGCCCAGCTCACACTAGAGTATCTGTGGCTCGGGGTTAGAGGATTTAAACACGGAATCCAAAGGTCTCAGATTTGACTCCTCATGGGGCCTCCAAATTGTTTTCTTTGTCGTGTCATGACGAACACATCTTTATCCAGTTTCAATACGTATTTCTTGTTCAAAATGTACTCAGAATTCTTTTTTAGCTGCTTGTAGAAAGCGGGTGCCCTTCAATTGAGCGAAATGCATCTAAATTGATTCAATGAATAACATCTCAGATACTTTTTGCGTCAAGTGCTATATAAAGTTAAGTCAAGAAAGACATACAACCGATTATAATTAAAATATTCGGTACTAGACCACTTTAATATTTTCTCTGTTCAAAAGAATATATAAGTATGAAATTAAAACCCTTGGTTCAAAATCCTGAAATTCTTTACAAAACTTTACTTAAGGAGAGAATGCCATTTCTACACTCGTTTCTAAAATATGAAAATAATATGAATTCTTTACTTAGAAACGTTAACCTTTAAAACACTTTAAAAACTTGTAATTGTGACAAATAAGCCTGACCCTCCTGCGGCACTAAGAGTGCCGCAGGAGGGTCTCGACGGGGTTTAACGTTAGCCTTTAAGAGTAAAAAGAAACGGCAAATTTTAACCGATAGTCGTGAGAAAAGTTTACCGTAAAAATATTTCCGTTAAATTTAAGGGAAAGAAATTAAATGGACATCACCCCATGGAGACCTTCCCGTAAAATCATCGAGGTTTTCTGGGATTTCTTGCGAAAAATATAACAAAAAAACATAGAGGAAATCAGTAAGGTATTCAATAAGAAGTTACTGATTTTTTTCTATTATTAAAGTTGTCTTGCAAGTTGTCCGACATAGAAGTAGAGTATCACTTTCGCACTTTGGCTGAAACGCGTATGAGGCGCGTTCCGTGAAGGAGATCGAAAAGAGCATCAACAACCATCGAATTTCAATGCACTAAATGGAAATAAGCGTATTTACCTTGTTATGTGTTTAAAGCTGATTGACCAGCGCATTTAAGAGCTGTAATAGGGCATAAAAAGATATTTACATTACTCGCTGCACTCGTCTAAATTTCAACTAAAACAAGCTACACCCAAGGTTTTCTACTTCGCTCTAACGCTCACTTTGGATATCATGGCTTGGCAACGACCTCGACGTTTCCTCGTTTCCAAAGAAAACATAACGCATTTAAAACCAAGAGATACATGCTGGAACCCTTCAAAATGACCTCATTTACGCCTACTAATAAATTTATACCGGCGATTAGTTTCTTCATTAACAAATCCCTTCAAACGAAAAAAATTCTAACGGGCGGACTTTGCTCTTCGCGGCAAAATTTTACTATACATTAAGCCATAAACAGTTCACCTTTCTCAGATTGATCTTTCCAATAAATCAAAAGACCTAAAAAAGGTAAAGGTGGAATAGGAAAAAAAAAAAAAGGAAAGAAAGAAAAAATTAGCGAACGAAAATAAAAAAATAATCCGCCCATTCTCCCCTTTTTCGTTTCCAGTTTACGCGCAAATCATTCTCGTTATCATTCTCCTCTCTCACCTTATGAATTACAGGAGAATTTCTTCTCGTAGTTTAACTGTATATAATTAGATTTTTTTAGGCTTATTTGTTCCCCAAGAAGGAGATTACATGTACCTTGAGCCAATTTGGCATTAATTCATACATAACAGTATATGTAAATATATAATATATAAAATTCTATTCATTTCTCGTAATTCAAGATTACCATTATCAAAAATCTATCTATTCATGTGTAATTAACTTAGTCCTTTTATCTCCTTTACATCCCAGTGATATTCCCTGGAAGATTACGCAGAACGGAAGTACGATGATTGTCCGGATACGACAAAGTGGTGGCGAAGACTTCCGAAAGCTTCCGTTGATGATCAGGGTCCACCATGTAACTAGTTCGATATAAACTCGACGCGCAATTGTTTTCCAATTCGGAAAAGTTTGCAGCGTTTTTCTTGTCTTTGTTTCCGAGTCATATTTAACCATTCTTTGAGACTTCTCTTACTTAACCTCTGACATCTGATATTACATATAACTGACTCCTCTCTCCGTAACCGTTACATTCCGCTGATATACTAGGCGTTGTTTTACATTACTTTGTGCTGCGTTACGTCGACGAATTCATGGACCTGTTAAGTATATTAACGAGGATGCTGGCTGGCCAGTCCTTACAAATTTCTCCAAATAAATGACACTCATTGTGTACTCCTCCAGTTTTTCGCATCACTAGACCGAATGATCTAACGAAGACAAGTAACAAAGGGAGATGTTAGAACGTTAGAATAAAATTTGTATTGATTTTATGTGGTCCAATGTCCTGAAGACTTCCTGTGAAGCCTTTTGTAAGTAGTATCCACGCCCCCGCGCCTCCAAGGTGTTTTTCACGATAATCTTGTCTAAGACTACAGTGGACTCTCCGCTAATCCTGTTTTTAATTCCCACCTCCCGCACGCAAAAAACTTTCCCCATACCATTGTTTACAAAGATTCCCCTTATTGAGTTGCAATCGAACAAACACACCACTCACACACTCGTGATACAACTCCGCATCTTAAGTTCCTCTGTTAACTTATGCAGGGGATGGGAGGGTGGGGTTAGCCCAAAATCCCAGATTTTAACCGGGAGGAATCAGCCCGTAAAGAACCCCCATCCCCCCATAAGCGAGGCATTATTTCTTCCTTTCGAATGCGTGACTTACTTTGACTTCCCACTGTATGTAGTGGTCTTCAGATCCCACCTGCAATAAGATACAAGAACACCAGGGCTGTTAAGTACTTTTTAACAAAAACAGTAAGAGTTGCAAAGTAGCCATCTTTTCATCAAATCCCACAACTGCGCCGCACAGCATGATTCCACCGACCTACCAAACTACCGCAGCTTCATAACATACAACATCAAGACAAACTACCGCGTCTGCACTAAACTTCATCGACTGCGGCAACTACACCAACTACACCAAAAGGAGCTACAGCTTCAAATGCGCATAGGACTACCACCACCCGGATGATCAAACTGCACGATCCAATGTTACGCTCAACTTTAAATGATTTATTGTAAAAAATCCTAAAAAGTCTAACCCTTGCCTCTCACCTTTTATCGCTGGGATCTATACCGCAATAGAGAATTGACTTCATGTGGAAATGCTGCCTGAAGAAAACTCTGGAAAAAATAAAAAATAAAAGTTCTGTAAAAAACTTGTCCATCGTGTGACCATTCCAATGGAAGCTACAGGGCTGTATTTTCATGGCGCTGTTTACCATGCTGAACAAGAAGGTTTTAACTTTTGGGTCGGAGGATAAAACCCCAGTGTGATCATTTACCCTTTCACTCCCAAGATCTTACTTGCAATTCTCTTTACTGCCTGTCATACAATTCTTATGATTTTAGTTCAAAGAATTTGGTATTGGATCAACTAATAGTCCCCTAATTGATATTTTCCTTTACTCTAGTCATTTGTCTGTTTGTTTTTGTTTTGATATTGTAAGGAGAAATTCTGTCTTGATCACTTATGGGAGTTAAAGGGTTTTGATAAAAGTTAATGAGTAATACTATCACGTGGTACTGGTACTATCACGTGGTACTGCCTTGTAACGTGGTTCTTATTTCTATAACTGCAACGTTTCTTACTTTCGTTCAGTATCTGTAACAGTCATTCCGTCTGGTGTGACCTTAAAGCTAACTGTCGTGAATTTCTTGGCAGCCTCTTCTGTTGACAGAAATTCCACAGTTCGCTGTATAGCGCTGGCACCAGTTAACATTTCCACCTCGCACTTTCCGAGATACATAAGGGAACCAACTGAAAAACAAAACGAAAATTACTCTACATCCGATGATGTAACCACCTGACATAGTGGTCTCCAGGCAAGCGCAAGCGATACGCCATCTAGACAACGTATGGGGCGGCCTGGGTTCGAGGCCTGGCCGGGTCAGTTATTCTTGTGTTCTTGTTGGACAAAACGCTCCAAGTAACTCTCTCTAAATAGGAGGGAAGAATGCTCTTCTTTGGAAGTTTCAGGTTATAGAACCACCCTGCCGTGAAACTAGAATCTAAAAGAATTATCTATAAGAAGGTAAAACATTCAGAGAACGATCAAATCCATAACTACCGTCTCGTAAATCAAGCCAGACAGATCAGTTATAATTCTAGTATCTTACCAGCGCCTTTGGGCCAGTTTTGACCGTCCTCCTTGTCAAGAGACTGGTCCTTATCTCCAGCTAGGAGGTCTGCAAAATGAGATATGATGACTGTCAACATAAACGAACATTTATTAACGGTTCTGATATTCTGAAATTAGAAATAAGAAGCAGAATGGTGGATACTGGATTGCAAATTTTATAGTATACGAAAACATACACACTTGCATACATGGCACATCTATGTAGACATCGATCGTTGTCGGGGAAGATAAAAGATTTTGTTACATGAAAACCGAGATTAAACAAGTCAGTAAGCCCAGGTTTATTTTTATCAACACGACACACTAAAAATTAAATGAGAAGTACTTAAAATAGATAAAAATAACTATATAAGCGCGTGGCTTTTGCCGAGAATGCGACAACTGGTCAACAACAGACACCTTACCATGAGCGGGCATTTTAAGTCTGATTGGTAGAGCCAAGGGAGTGATGGAATGTTGATACACAAAAGCAGCCAAACTGCCTACAAAGATAAAAACATAGCACGGTATTAACTCTTTAAATTATCATCTGCGCGGCTGACCAAGTTAATGGAGGATCTAGGTTAAATTTTTAACGTAGAAACAAACAAACTAACAAATTTGCCATCTGGCAAAGTGCTGTGTGGTTTCTGCTAAAGCTGGCTTTATAAAAAAGACTTCCAGTGATATGGGAGAAGTTTATTACTGTACTCTAACTTGGGCCGGTGAAACACAAGTTATTGTTCAAGTACTTACCAAAAATGGGTTCATCGTTGTAGCCTTTCAACCTAACGCCCTTCTTGGTTGTTTCAATGAGAAAGTGCCGAACAAGTTCATTGTCGAGATCAACTTTTGCTGAAAGAAGAAAAACGTTTGGTAATCTTTCGAAATCGCGACGAAGAACTTTCGTTTTTTCAGTTGTATTGAAACAAAACGGAACTTAGGAAACAGACAATGAAGGGTCTCATAGAGAAACGCAATAAAGGGGCTTAACATCGGTACTTTTTTTAGCAGCCACCTGAGGGTAAACAATGAAAGTGCAAACAGGCGCATAATTAAGGACTCTGAATCGTGAAGTGAATCATGTCAGAAAGAGAAAAAAAAGGTACATTTTTTAGTGAAATTCTCAAACAAATCGTACGGGAACTGTGGAAAGTACTTTGCAAAATATTAATTAAATCTTTCCTTAACTACTTTAGGAGGGGAGGGGTGTTCCAACTTACTAAGGTCTCCTTGAAGTCCCTGAAGGACATGCGCAGGAGGCACGGCGACCTTCACAGCTAAACCAAAGGCTCCTGGGAAAGACTGACTATCCCGGATGATAAAAGAACCCGGTTCTGAGTCTTTTAGGATATCGTTTGCTAAAGAAAAAGAAAACAAGACAAACTGTAATAAACTCGTCAGAGTGGGCTCATATCAGAGTGACCAGCATCTCATTTCTCCTTACAGTCTCACTGCTGCCTCAAATAGTTTGGTCTTGAGAATAAAGGCAATGATAGTGAAGCTCTGGTCAGTACTAAAGGAAATGTATAGAAAACAGTATGGAGAAAATACACACTGATGCTAGGGTGTACCGGAAGTATTGCTAATTCTCGGGGTATAAGAGGATAGTCTATCGAAAGGAAAACTCCAAGGAATAGACTTTGACAAGTTTCTTGGCAGCCTATTAGTTCCTGTTTATACTCCTGACAGGAGTGTAACTGTTAGAGTTCGAAGTACATAACACTTAACAAAGTGACGCGGCCACGTTATTTCCGCTTGGAAACCTGCGCGCTAACAACTAATGCAAGTAACAGCGTCTCCCGTACAGTACGAGGCCTTCATATATCAAAGAAAGGAAGTGATTTCATACCATCAGTCCTTGAAATGGTTGGTTTATACCAAAACACTGAAGTGTCTCTGTCAAATTTTAATCCTGGAATTTTCGGGCTTTCCGGAAGGAACACATCTGAAAAATAGGACGCACAATAGTTTTAAGCGGGAGCAAAAAGGGGATTTCACTGTAACTCTTCACGATTTTTATTTTGTCGCAAGCACATCGGCTTCTCTATAATCGTGTAGCTGTCAGTAGAGCTAGCGTGTCTTTAAACTCAATCTTGCATGAGTTACAAAGCGTGCCACACGCACTGCACTCTGCGCATACAAGTGTGCAACTCACGGACTGAATATGGTTGTAATGAAGGTGGTGGACGATACTCACTGTCATTCGATGAACCAGACGATACACTGTTGGTAGACCCGTAGCCTTTATCTGAGACAGGATGAGATTTCTTTCGCTGTACAGCATTTTCAAAGGACCCAGATCCATCAGACAGCAAAGGACTCCTACCCTTTCCGTTTGGACCTTCACTCCTGACGCTCTGTGGTGTACTAGGGTGACTAAGTTGGGGAAGCTGTGGCTCGTTGATGCTACTGGAGAGGAAAACCATATGGAAAGAAAAACCATACCAGACGAGTTAATAAGTGAGCAGGAAACATATTTCCGATTATGATGACAACCGAAATACCAACGTTCTTTAGGTTTTGTTTGTATGTTTCAGTAGTGTAGACTACTTGAAACAGATTTCATTGATCACCATATAGCTTAAAAACGTTGTAATCAAGTTTATTCCAGAAATGCGCTTTCTATCGGTTCAGCGCCAACAACAAATGCCTCACCCCAAGTCAGCCATCTCTGATAAAATGTCTTTAATGGCTTCAACGTCACTAGCTGTTTTGGTGATTTGTATCTGTTCCACAATTGGTTCAACTACAGGAGTGGCCGATGTGCTTGTCTCCTCTAGGGTGGTCTGAGTCTCCGTGGTAACACCATCTCCAGGACTGAAAAACAAGAACATTATCAATCGGGGCCGATAACCGGCCAAAACTATCGGCTAGTCTGCCATCTTTGGCCGGCTTATTTAATCTCACTTGATCATAGTTGCTGATGAAAAATTAAAAATATCTTTGAAGACACATGTGCAGCCGCCATTTCCCAGATTGAGTGGAAATAAAGGTCAATTTTCTAGACACAAGTTTAGAAGTGTGAATCGATTCCACGTTCAGAATCAGTTTGCTCAAAGATTCGTGCTTATTTCGTGGAGCGCCAGCTGAGCACCTTGACAGAATAGTTCAGTCTCGCGTTTAATCTGACGAGGAATCAAGGCGTCCACGATAACCTCGACACCAAATAATTCATTTTTTTGCCTTCTACTCTTGGAAGCATTGCAGTTATAGAAATGTTAGATAGAGTGGCTATACCTCTTCTGTATCTTCTTAGCGGACCGTATATCCTCCAGTCTCGCGTATCCAGCTTCTTCGTCTTCCCGTGCTTCTTGCAAATGGACTGCAGCACTTTCCAGGAGATTACTGGAACTCGACTGTTGACTGACCAGATCAGTTACAGCCTCTCCCTCTTGGTTCATTGTCGTGATTGCTACCGGATTAAACCGGTTTGACGAACGACCAGCAACGGGCGTGGAGACTGACGAGGTACTGACGATTGATTCACCAAAGCTGAGTCCGTGTGACCATCACTGCTGCTGGGTCAGAGAGTAACGTTAGATGGAAGGAAGGAGCGAGGAAGTGGGAAGACGAAGAAACAAGCCACGAAGGAAGGTAGTAGACAGAGGAAGAGATGAAACAGGGGTAGGATAGAGATAACATCCAGGAGAAAGAAATGAGGGGAGGGAGGGAGGAAGGCAGAGAGGAGGGATGCCACGGGGGGGGGAAGGGTAATAGGAAAAAAAGCGGAGAGGAGGTTGATTTGAACAGAAAGACATTATTTGGTCAAGATCAAATACCTTTAGTTACAAGCCCTATATTTATATTTGTTCAAAACAAAACTTTGTGCAACAAATTCGATAATCCTCAGATATTTAAAGAAGAATATTGACTTACGCAGATGGTGAGGTTCCTAGATTGGTCGGTTCATCGATAGATCCTTTGGAGTCGACACCTTCATCCAAACTTATACCGTCAATACTGCTGGGAGGAGACTTCTCAAGGACATGGTGATGATCCATAAAGTCTTAAATGAAGGAAATATAATAAGCTACTTCTTCAAGAAAACAATTCGCGCAATATTAAACAGTCACACCTTTGCTCAGGAAATACCCAGGACTAAGGAAAGTTACCTCTTGACTTGGGTAAAAAATACAAAAGTGATGTGTGCACTTGTTCCAGGTAAGACCAAAGTTTGAGTCCCCTTAAAGGAAACGTCCCACAAGAATTGTTCTACTGTTTTTAGTCGTAAGCGAAATACTTTGGCACGATCTACGGTACAAGAAAACTTTGGAGATTATTTAACGGTTTGGCATCTTTTTCAACAGTACCACAGGCTTACTGGTAATACCGGTGAACACAAACACATCAGGTCTACTTTAATGGAAACAGACTAACGAGTCGCTCGCCGTATTTTCTCAGTGTACATCGTATCCCCTAACAGAGTTTCGTTGCCAGGCATAGTGATAGTAATAGTAAACTACAGAGCGACTGTGATAGATTAGTTTCATACACTCCACCATTTGATAGGTATTGAGAACTGTGAATAAAACATTGCATTAGTCTATAATTAGCAACTATTAGGGGTGCAAAAGACGTTTCCTTTTGCAAATACAGTCTCTCGAGGTTTCTTAGACGGCAATAAACCGTAAAAAGCAATTTTAAGTGAAAATTTTGTTTTAGAAACGGTGGGGTAAGTCAGAGAGAACATCAATGTGCACCGATGATCAGGGTGTCAGGGGTAACGTGACAAGAAAACGATAGATGGATTGCATGACGAGTTAGCAGAGACGAAATTCAGAAAAACGCGAAAGTGATTTTTGTAAGAAATTCTTCTCTACAAAAGTGCAAGGGACAGTGAGGATTGTAACGCGTTATAAGAGCAGAGATTGCGTGATACAAATGTTAGGTTGCATGAGAATGAAAAACGTGAAAGTACCTGTCTTGTGAACGAGAAACTCATGCGCAGGAGGTAAACGCGACTCTTTGAACCCAGTTAGATCTGTCTCTTTGGGTGGCTCGGCCACGTGCTTGGTTTGTTCGACAATCCTCTTAGGCGGGGCGCCACTGATGTACAAAGTTCCTGACGAGTGGCTTATTTCCCCTGGTGCCAAAGACTTGGCGTTGTAATTCGAAATTTCTTTGGACACTTCTGTCGCTGACAAGCAAGCAAGGCCAGGCATGGGGATTATATGGCCCTTGATATTTTGATGTGGCGGAGGACGCACATTATCAGGTTGGAGCATATCGCTAAGGAGGGCGATTTTCGAACGCACATTTCCCTTCTCTGGCAGCGTTTCAGAATCCTGGATCGTTTTTCGCCCTTCTAAATCGAAAAAGTCTTCGACGACGGCTAGTTTATCATCATTGTTATTGAAATCAAAGGTTTTAGGACCTCGTCTCTGCTGACCAGGACTAGAAGTCGTCCTTTGGCTGGCGACGGAAACATCTTCATTCCTACCAGCACCGTCAACATGGTCACCGCTGTTTGGAACAAAGTTGTATCCCAAAGTGGTGTGAGAAACTGTTTTAGCTTTTAACGTCCTTGGCATTACTTCAGTGGTGGCGAAAAATGTTGGCGACGTTGGAGACATGGCAGGTGACACTTTAGACAAAGGCGCGTCGTGTAAGACAACCGAAAGCGCATCCCCGTCAGAATATCCATTCGACATCTGCCCAGTTTTAACATTGCCATTCCACGAGCTATTTTGTGAATATGGCGGCGGTTTGATAGGGACTCGTGTATGCGTTGCTCCAAAAGAGGGTCCGTTACTTTGGTTGTACCTTACAGCACTGATCCCATTTGGAATCAGCGGTTCTCCTATTAAGCCACTCCTACTGTAACGCTCACCAACTTCAAAACTCGCCTTTTGGCGCACAGGAGGACCAGGAGGAATAACAGACCTCGATCCTCCGTTGACCACAGGAATACCTGATGACTGCACGCCTCTCGACCCGGATCCAGCCTGTCGTAAAGTTGAATCCAAAATTTCTGAACATTCCCCCAGCTCTTGCAGAAGCCTATCAAACGATTTCATCTCCCTATTCCGGCCGTCCTCACTGAATGCTGCATTTTGCTGCTATTGTTGTGCTGAAGACTGGGTTGTGTCAGTCCAAAATCCTCATTTTCTTTGCTTCTAAATCCGTACGCTTTTTTTCGATTCAAAGTGTTTGCTCTGTTTTCAAAGAAGTTCAACTGTTCCGCTCCTCTTGACCGGGCACCACTATCCAAGCTCATGGATCGCACTTTCTTCTTGAGTGCTTTGTCCACCTGGGCGTACAAGTGGCCATTCACCGGACCAGGTACGTACTCAGGGGGACCTTCACCAAAATAAGACATCTTTTAGTAACTGAAGCATAGCAAAAATTTCACAACACCTACCCCTCCCCAAACTCGGCATCAACCCTAACTTATTATTAGTCGACTGTTTTTTGGTTAGGGGAGGGGTGGGTGGGCAGTCGCTCAGAATCTGACATTGATCCAAAATTTCATAGACAAAGATTCTCAGAGACCACTTTAAAAAACACAAAACACACACACACAATAGTGGATGAAAGCTTTCATTAGAATGGCCAAATGATTTATCCGCAAATTAAAAAAGTTAGCCTCACCTTGTGCAATATATACAAACATAAAAGTAACAAATGAAAGGACTGCTGAGTTGTTTTCATCTGCATACAATCCATATATTTTAAATGTAAAGGCAATTGGTAAGGCCGCCATAACACTTCTAATGAAATTGCACACATATTTCTTTTATCTATTTCATTGAAGTTTACGAATGAATCTATTATTTCAGTTATGAAATTCTTACAAACGTCTCTAAGCTTTACAAACATCAGAACGCTTTTATTTGTTTTTTTTGGGGGTAAATGGCCCAGTTCTTTTGCCCAAGAAACATAAGCAATTCTTCATCGCATGTCAAAGACTTCAAGGACGAACGACCCACTAGAGACAATTATGCCAATAAAATATTGACTACGTGTAATTCAGATAAGATCTTGAGACAGATAACAATACTCTAATCAAAAAATTGGATCGTGACTTACAAATACGTGAGTTCCTTATCGTTATAACTGCCACAGCTATTAGCACTAATTGAGAATAGATCCGTAGATATTTAAGGAAATCTTAACTCGATAACAGCATTTCAGTGACCCCCTAACGTCCCGAAGGAAAACGTTATATGTGTACAACAGTATTTTCAAAAGGTATTTTTAAATAATCCAAACTCTCCACGTTCAAGGTCTATTGGATGTATTTCGCT